TTTGAAATTAAAAACAAATTACCATTTATATTAGCACCCTCCAAAAACGAAATACTTAGGTTTCTAACAAAACATGTATAAGAAAGAAAACTACAGAACTCCTATGAACAAATTCAAAGAGCTAAATAAATGGAGAAGTGTTCCATGTTCATGGTTAGAGGTGTTCCATGTTCAGTGTTGTCAAGATGTCAGTTCTTCCCAACTTAATCTATAAATCTAAAAAAAAAAATTATTTTTTTAAAAGATTTTATTTATTTATTTGAGAGAGAGAATGAGATAGAGAGAGAGAGCATGAGAGGGGGGAGGGTCAGAGGGAGAAGCAGACTCACTGCTGAGCAGGGAGCCCAATGCGGGACTCAATCCCAGGACTCCAGGATCATGACCTGAGCCGAAGGCTTCGCTTAACCAACTGAGCCACCCAGGCGCCCCCAGCAAGTTATTTTATGGATATCGACAAAGTATTCTAAAGTTTATATGGAAAGGTAAAAGACTCATAATAGCTCAATACTGCAGAAGAACAAAGTCAGAAGACTAACACTATCTCACTTCAAGACTTACTATAAATAGTACACCTGAAACTAAACCATGTGTCAACTATATCAAATAAAAAATAAATAAAACTTTTAAAACACTATAAAGCTATAGTAGTAATGAAGACTATGTGGTATTACAAAATAATAGACAAATCAATCAATGGGACACAAGAGAGGATGCAGAAACAGTCAACTGATCTTTCACAAAGAAGGCAACACAATGGAGCAAAGATAGTCTTTTCAATAAATCATGCTGGAACAACTGGACAGTCACATGAAAAAATGAAAGGCAATCTGAAAAGACTACACACTATATGATTTCAACCATATGACATAAAGGCAAAACTACAGAGATAGTAAAAAGATCAGTATTTGCCAGTGGAAGGGCGGGTAGAGATGAATAGGTGAAACACAGTGAAATTTTAGTGAAGTGAAAATACTCTGTATGATACTATAATGATGGATACATGTCATTATATATTCATCCAAACACACAGAATATACACCAAGGGTGAACCATAATATAAACTATGGGCTTTAGGTGATTATGATGTGTCAATGCAGGTTTATCAACTGTAACAGATGTACCACTCTGGTAGGAGACGTTGATAATGTAGAAGGCATTGCATGTGTGGGGATGTAAGATATATGGGAAATGTCTGTACCCTACCCTTTCCCTCATTTTGCTGTGAACTTTCAACCACTCAAAAAAGACAGTCTTTTTTTTTTTTTAAGATTCTATTTATTTATTTGACAGAGAGAACAAGAGAGCACAAGCGGGGGAGCAGGAGAAGGAGAGGGAGAAGCATGCTCCCCGCTGAGCAGGGAACCTGATGTGGGGCTAGATCCCAGGACCCTGGGATCATGACCTGAGCCAAACGCAGACGCTTAACCATCTGAGCCACCCGGGTGCCCCTAAAAAGACAGTTTTATTTAAAAAATAGTAATTGGGGCACCCGGGTGGCTCAGCTGTTAAACATCTGCCTTCGCTGGCTCAAGTCATGATCCCAGGGTCCTGGGATCGAGCCCCGAGTCGGGCTCCCTGCCCAGTGGGAAGCCTGCTTCTCCCTCTCCCACTCCCCCTGCTTGTGTTCCCTCTCTCGCTGTCTCTGTCAAATAAATTTTAAAAAATCTTTAAAAAAATAATAATAGGGGCGCCTGGGTGGCTCAGTCATTAAGCGTCTGCCTTCGACTCAGGTCATGGTCCCAAGGTCCTGGGATCGAGCCCCACATCGGGCACCCTGCTCAGCGGGAAGCCTGCTCCCTCTCTCACTCCCCCTGCTTGTGTTCCCTCTCTTGCTATGTCTCTCTGTCAAATGAATAAATAAATAAAATCTTTAAAAAATAGTAATAATAAATAAAAATAAAAAAATACAAGAGGCTAATAAAAAATAAGCAATCAAGAAAACTTTTAAGAATATACGCATAACATGAGAATATTAACTATATCAGTCATCCATTCACTTGCCTCAAAAGATTTTTTTAAAAAAACAAAAACAAGATTCACTTGTATCTTGTTCTTCCTTTTTTTTTTTTTTTAAAGATTTTATTTATTTATTTGAGAGAGAGAGAGAGCATGAGCAGGGCAGAGGGACAAAGGGACAGGGAGAAGCAGACTCCCCACTTAGCAGGGAGCCCGCCAAGGGGCTTAATCCCAGAACTCTGAGATCATGACCTGAACTGAAGGCAGACACCTAACTGACTGAACCACCCAGGCGCCCTTCTTGTTTCTTATCACAGGTAATTCAAACTAGAAAAAGAAATCTATTTAGTAAAAATTCTTATTTCCAAGTTAACATAAATTCTTAAAAATAATTAGCTTACAATAATAATATTTACATCATTTGTAATATGTATAGCTTTATACAGCTTTATATATAGCTATACATGGCTTTTCTTTAAAGATTTTTTTCCCCATTTATGCCCACAAAAAGAGTGGTGAAATCGATTTCTCTTTTACTTTTCAGATCCAAATCGCTATCCACTACAATAGTTTTCTTCAGCTTAAACCTATATTCATTTTCTTAAAACTCTTCAAATCTAACTTAATATGTATAGAGAGAGCCCAATATTTGAAATTCTTTCAAAATAGAAACAAAGTCCTTAATTTTGTGATTATATAAACTTTTCTAACTGAAAATGCTGTTTTCAAGAAAATTCTGATTTTATTGAGAGGAAACAAGGCTTCTGTTACATTCTACCACCTTGGGATATGTCAAAAAATAAAGTGCCTTCTCAACCTACCAATTGTTCTTGTTATTCTTGGTTACTTGGTTATTAAGCCAAAACAGGAGATCTCAAATTAGTAATCTCATAAGTGGGCGTGAAATCATAAGTGACATATGCAAGAAAATAAACTTTGATCCATAACTCATTCCACATACAAAAATTAACTTGAAATAGACCATACACATAAATGTATGAGCTAAAACTAAAAAAATTCTGGGAAACATAGGAGAAAATCTTTGTGATCTTGAGTTAAGCAAAGATTTCTTAGATATAGCCTTTTGGCTATGCCAAAAGCCATAAAAGCCATAAAAGAAAAAATTGATAAACCAAAGAAACTCCTGTTCTTCAAAACAATACTATTAAGAAAAGGAAAAGACATGCCACAGACTGGAAGATAATATTTCCAAATCACCTATCTGGTAAAGAATCTGTATCTAGATTATATAAAGAACTTTCAAAATTCAGTAACAATCCAAGTTTTAAAAAGCTGGGCAAAAGATTTGAACAGAATCTTCCCTGAAAGATACATAGACAGCAAATTAGCACCTAGAAGATACTCAACATCATTAGTCATTAAAATTAAAGCCATGATGAACTACTACGACAAACCTATTAGAATATCTAAAGTTGGGGAAGCCTGGGTGGCTCAGGCGGTTAAATGTCTGCCTCCGGCTCAGGTCATGATCCCGGGGTCCTGGGATCGAGTGCTGCATTGGGCTCCCTGCTCAGCAGGGAGTCTGCTTCTTTCCCTCTGCCTTTCCCCCAGCTTGTGCACTGTCTCTCGCTCACTCACTCTCTCTGTCCAATAAGTGAATAAAATCTTTAAAAAGAAAAAAAAAAAAAAAAGAGTACCTAAAGTTAAAATTCCAAATATCAGTGAGATTGCAGGACAAGTGGAACTCTCATATTCCTCACAGAACTATAAAAACTGTTTTTGGAATACAGTTTGGCAGTTTTCAGAAAAAATTAAACACACACATGTCATATGACCCAGCCATTCCAGTCCTAGTATTTATCCAAGAGAAATGGAAGTATATGTCAACAAAGAAATTTGTTCAGAAATGTTCACAGCAGCTTAATTAACTCATAACAGGCAAAAGTTAAAAACAATTAAAATGTCCATTCTTAAATGAAGAGATAAACTGTGGTCCATACAATAAATAATACTTGGCAAATAAAAAGAATAAACAATACATGGAATAACATAAATGAATCTCAAACACTATTATGTTAAGTGAAAGAAACTAAATAAAAACTATAAACTGTATGACTCAATTTAAATAATACACTTTTTTAAAAGGCACACTAAAGAAAGCAGATTGGTGTTTTCCTAGAAGGGGGTGGAGTGGGAGTAGTGAAGAGGGGCAATGGGACAAAAAGGAATGATCATAAAGGGGCATAAGAAAAATTTGAAGGTGATATGTTCATTATCTTGATTGTGACAAAGGTTTAGTTTATTCTAAGTATTCAAAATCCCAACACTTGTGGGGAGGGTATGGCCACCCCACTGCCCAGCCACCACCATTATAAAGAACTCCACCAGAAATCCAACTGGCTTCCAAACTGGAAAGAAAAAAAGAAAAAAAAAATCCTAACACTTGGTTATTCAGTACTTCCTACTCATTAAATTACTTAGAAAAAGGAAAAAATAAAACCAAACCACCAATCAATGCACTCTGACAGTTGGAATCACAGAAACACAACTTTTATTCAATTTCAAAGCTCAGAGAAAAAGATTTGAACTTTCTCATTTAAAGAAATAATACTGTATGTAGAAGGCTTAAAAAAATATATACCTAAGAAATTCTAAATGACAGGATTACATTTTTTAAAATCTAGAGGTGACATAAAGATTTCTAAAACTTTTCAATTTGTAGAACCCAAAATAGCAAATATAAAAATATACCTTTCTCCAGGGTGCCTGGGTGGCGCAGTTGGTTAAGTGCCCAACTCTTGATTTCGGCTCAGGACTTGATCTCGTGAGATAAGCCCCGTGCTCAGCAGCAGAGTGTACTTGAGATTCTCTCTCCCTCTCCCTCTGCCCCTCCCCATTGTGCACGCTCTCTCTCTCTCAAATAAATAAATCTTTAAACACACACACACACATCTCCAAACTTGTGATTTTTGTATTCAACTTCTAAAGGAATCAAAGATGAAAATGGATTCTTTCTACAAGTTCAATTTTTAGTGTATTCCATGAGCAGTATCAAATACAGAAAATGTGCTCCACAAACTCACCATTTGTACAACAGACTCCCTTAATCTTGTCTCTTCTTCAGTCATGAGAGTCAATTCTTTGCACACCATGGCAGCCAGCCCCACGTCTAAGCATTCTGGATCTGCTGCCATCTTGAAAATGAGTTCTTCATGTGAAAAGACACAATGGCGCCTCAGCCGTCGGTAATGATTGACACACTGACGTCCAATGGGCAACTGTAAACAAGATTGTCAAATTAAATTACTTGCTTATAACATCTTCCAGAACAAAACCACTATTTAGCCTACAGATCCTGTTTTATTATAAAAAAGGCAGAATATCAAACTCCATTTGAACATAAGAGGAACTGTAAATATTAAATCTTTATGGCCCAGCAGGACTTTCAAAGGCCTTCCCACAGAAAATTTCCATAATTTGAGATGCTAAGCTTCTAGCCTAAGCTATTAATTTTCTACTCATTATGTACAACAAGTACAAGTTCCTTGATATTTAAATGAAGCAGCAAACTCTTTTAGACCACTTTAACATAAGCTGCCTTTAAAGACAAAAGAAAAAACATTTAGGTAATAAAGGGTTAAGTGGACATATTCAGCATGGAGGTTTCCACAGACCAAAAAGCAGAGATGTTAATAAAAGTTACAAAAAAAAAAGAAGAAAAAGAAAAGGGGAGGAAAAAAGCACTACTTCAGCAATTCACATTAACTGACTTTTATTGTAAGAACCAAAGCAAAAGATGATTTACATTTTAGCATCTAAAAATTCTTTTAAAAACATCAGTCTGGCCTAAAGAGAATCCAAGTGAAATCATGAGATTATACACTTTATTCTCCCTAAGTGAATAAACAAGTCACTAGATGATCACTTTTCATAAATGATCAGATACACCCTTCAAGATAAATTCTGAAAATTCTTTACCCATCAAGCTTTAAGCCCAATTATGATACTAGTTATACTATATAGGCATACCTTGGAGATACTGTGGGTTCAGTTCCAGACCACCGTAAATAAAGTATCACAATAAAGTGAGTAAAATGAATGATTTGGTTTTCCAGTGCATATAAAAGTTATGTTTACATTATACTATAGTCTATTTAGTGTGCAATAGCATTATGTCTAAAAAAAAACAATGTACACAACTTAATTCAAAAATACTTTCTTGCTAAAAAATGCTAACCATCACCAGAGCTTCAACAAGTCATAATTACTAATCACAGATCACCATAACAATAATGAAAAAGTATGAAATATTGCCAGAATTCACAAAATGTGACACAGAGACATGAAATGAATAAATGCTATTGGAAAAATGGTGCCAAAAGACTTGCTGTCTTGACACAGGGTGGCCACAAGCCCTCAATTTGTAAAAAATGCAATATGTGTGGAGTACAATAAAGCAAAGTGCAATAAAACAAGGTATGCCTGTACACAAAAACACACACATATATACACACACACTTCTTCCATCCCTCCTCCCTCCTCCCTCCTCTCTATCTTTCCCCAACTTCTATCCTCCTGCCCAGTGGAAAAACTTGGGTAATTTAAATGGGAGTTTTAGTTTATATTTGAAAACTATGATATAACAGAGAAAAAATAAGAAAATGGACCTTTAAGAACCTTTAAGAATTCACATTTTGAGAAAGGCAGAAGACAATCACAGGAATCACATTTTGAGAATATAAGACTATCTCTAAATCAAGCAGTATTCCCATACTTTTTTTTTTAAGTAGGCTCCACGCCCAGTGTGGAGCCCAATGTGGGGCTTGAACTCATGACCCTGAGGATCATGACCTGAGCCGAGATCAAGAGTCGGACGCTTAACCGACTGAGCCACCCAGGCGCCCCTACATACTCCTTTAAAGAAACAATCTTTCCAAAGAAAATAACAATACTGAACTTATGATTAGGGATTATCTTGTCTATTAACAATATACTCTTTCGTTTACTAATTCATAAATATTTACTTGTTAAACATTTTTCATACAGCTTATTAACAATGGCAAGAAAATATGCAGATCTTAATTATTACAATCTATAAAGAAGCCATATAAAATAGAACTGATTATCCAATGTAGCTTATAAAACTTAGTACCACCACTATATTCTAAATCTAAAGCTGCTATAACTCTTCATTTCTATCACACCCTTCTTCTAAAGAGTTTCAAGGACTTATACATATATCATCTCACTTGTTTGAGGTTATTAAGCGAATCTTAGTATCTTCATATACAGGATAAAAAACTTAGGCTCAGTGAAATTAAAAGAGCTGCCCAAGGCCACACATCAATAATAGTGAACACATTACAGGCAGAAACTATCTCTAATTCATTTCTGAATTATCTCTACTTCCTACCCTACATCTAGACAGGAAGCAAGTAAATCATAAACATTTTAATAAATGTTAGTTGAATTTTAAAAATTAGACCTCAAACCCAAGGGAAAGCCAGTCTTCCTCATACTGCTTCCTAAGCCTAATAATGTTTTAAATTACTAGATCAAATAAGGTTACTCATTATGTCATTCATTAACCAAGGAAACAAAAATTGTGAAATCATGAATCATGAAATTTAGTATATTAATGTGCCTATAGAAAACATAAGACCCAGTACTACTAAAAATATCTCCCCCTTGGGGCGTTTGGGTAGCGCAGTCAGTTGGCATCTCTTGATTTTGCTCAGGTTGTGATCTCAGGGTCCTGACCTCAATGAGATCAAGCCACATGTCAGGCTCTGTGCTCAGCGTGGAACCTGATAAAATTCTCTCTCTCCCTCTGGGTGCTCTCTCTCTATCAATCGATAAAAAGATAAATAAATAAATATCTCCCCAAATGTTGAGAGGAGACCAAAAATAGAGCATCACTAAAGGAAAAATAAAGTCAAAGAATGTATCATAAATTTGCAGTCTTTTCCCAACATGACATAATTATAAATACTTTTTGATATCTACCTCATACAAAAAAGCAAAATAGCAATCACTGGCATTATCACTTACTTTATTTTTTAAAAAATTTTATTTATTTGAGAGAGAACAAGCAAGACAGCATGAGCAGGGGGGAGGGGTAAAGGGAGAGGGAGAAGCAGACTCCCTGCTGAGCAGGGAGCCCAGTGCAGGACTTGATCCCAGGACTCTGGGATCATGACCTGAGCTCAGTCAGATGCTTAACCGACTGAGCCACCCAAGCACCCCTGGCATTATCATTTAAACAAAAGTATATCCCATAGAGATCTCAATACTATAGTTACTCTTTAAAATAAGTTTTTTTAAAAGAAATACAAAAAAAACAAAATGATAGGAAGAATAAAATCATCTAATTGTCTATAAGAAGGAAAGTAATAAAGGGATTATTTTAAAATAAAAATCTGAGTTAGATATTTGAAAATATGTTGTCAAAAAAAAAAGATCAGCAGCAATGTCCACAATAGCCAAACTGTGGAAAGAGCCAAGATGTCCATCGACAGATGAATGGATAAAGAAGATGTGGTATATATACATGATGGAATATTATGCAGCCATCAAAAGGAATGACATCTTGCCATTTGCAACGACGTGGATGGAACTGGAGGGTGTTATGCTGAGTGAAATAAGTCAATCAGAGAAAGACATGTATCATATGACCTCGCTGATATGAGGAATTCTTAATCTCAGGAAACAAACTGAGGGTTGCTGGAGTGGTGGGGGGTAGGAGGGATGGGGTGGCTGGGTGATAGACATTGGGGAGGGTATGTGCCATGGTGAGCACTGTGAATTGTACAAGACTGATGAATCACGGATCTGTACTTCTGAAACAAATAATGCAATATATGTTAAGAAAAAAAAGAAGAAGAAGATAGCAGGAGGGGAAGAATGAAGGCGAGTAAATCGGAGGGGGAGACGAACCATGAAAGACGATGGACTCTGAAAAACAAACTGAGGGTTCTAGAGGGGAGGGGGGTGGGGGGATGGGTTAGCCTGGTGATGGGTATTAAAGAGGGCACGTTCTGCGTGGAGCACTGGGTGTTATGCACAAACAATGAATCATGGAACACTACATCAAAAACTAATGATGTAATGTATGGTGATTAACATAACAATAAAAATTTTTTTAAAAATTATTACGAAAAAAGTAAAAAAAAAAATCTAGTTGTCATTATAAAATCCTTAAGTTGCTCAGAGAAACCAAAGGCTAGAGGAAGGACAGTCTCTCAAAAAAGAAAGATTTAAAAACTATCGAGTGCTCATTTAAAATTCAAACAGAATGAGGAAAAGAATGAATGGATGAAAAGTAAAGAACTATAAAATCTTCCAAATAAAAACTGTAATGGAAACTCTAACCAAACTTTCTAAATTACAATAGCCATTCCAGTCTCTACTGAAATATTCATGAATCCTCCCCTCCCCAACTAAGTAAATATAGCCACTAAGACACATTTTCCAGGAGTGTTAGTAGACGTACAACAGCTACTTGCTATAGAACAGACCCAGTCAGCAGTACAGAAGTTCACAGCTTCAGCAAAGTTGTAGCCCTGGTTAAATCCAGAATGATAGGCACGAGGAAATGTCACAACAAACTCGCCAGCACACTGATTGGTCCTGTACACCTAAATGCAAAGTGGGAACAGGAATACAAAACAAAACAAAATAAAAACAACAAAAAAGAGGAAGAGATTTTATCAGTCACTTTCAGAAGCATTTTCTAAAATTAAAAACAGTAAAGCATTCACCTACACATACCAGAAAATAATATCAGGGTTTAAGAAGCAGCCTGAACTCTTCTTACCTTCTTAAAATAGTCAATGATAACAAAATACAGTAATTCACAAGCAGTAGCAGACAAATTCTCAAAGAGAAAACGTTACTCTCACCGGGCTACTAGTTTCTGAAACTTGATAAAATTTTTACAATTAAGTGACTTTTTCTTTTATTCCTTTTATCCTTGTGTTGTCAATAACATTAAAGAATGGGATTTCCTCCTACTCTTATGTAATTTTTTGGAATTAATTAATTAGATCATATGTTATATGGAGATAGCCCCAAAATCAGTTTTCCTGGATCCCACTTATTTTTATAATTATTACATCTTTACTTATTTTAGAGAGTGTGCGTGCCACCCAGCCACCCCAATACTATGTGTCTTTAGAAAAATCCCAAATTCTAGTATGAATTCACTCTGCTTTCAGCTCAGGTCATGTTCCCAGGGTTCTGGGACTGAGCCCTACATTGGGCTCCCTGCTCAGTGGGGAGTCGGCTTCTCACTCTGCCCCTCCCCCTGGCTCGGTGGGCATATGCGTCGGGGCATGCACTCTCTCTCTCTCCCAAATAAATAAATAAAATCTTTAAAGACAAACTAACACTGGGTGCCTGGGTGGCTCAGTCAGTTAAGCATCCGACTCTTGATTTCGGCTCAGGTCATGATCTCAGGATCGTTGAGATCCAGCCCCACATCAGGTTCCATGCTCAGCACAGAGTCTGCCTAAGATTCTCTCTCTCCCTCTACCTCTGCCCCTCCCCCCATTCATGCTTGCATGCTCTCACTCTCTCTAAAATAAATAAATAAAATCTTTTAAAAAAAAGTAAAAAAGATATTCATAGTATTTCATTATCGTATATAAAAAGAAAGCTGTGAAATCTTTAATGAAATATGATCTCCAAAGGATAAGTATTAATTACTACAACTATCACTTAAAATACTTACACTCTGGTTAAACAAAGATAATACAGATAATAAATAATACGGAGTATTATTATATACACTAGATAATAAAGAATATAAGATTTTTGTCAAAACCAGGATATAATGGTTTACTGAAAACAGAAGACTATTTTAATAGGCAGCTATACATAAAGTATGATTAATATTTAAAACACCTCTTTCTTACCAAAGAAATGCTCTTCCCTTCAGAATATAAATTCTAATTTGGCTAGAAGATGAAATAATCTTTTGCTTCCAGTTATAAAACAAAAGATATGTTGTGTTTCTAATGAAAAGCTAACATAACCTTAAAATAAAAATACTAAAAGACACAATAAGACTCACAGGCACACCATGCTCCATCAGTACATTGGGGTTCATGATGGTGACTAACTGATGCAGGAGATCAGGCTGGGATTCAAATAACTCAGGAGCCAGCTCCCTCATCACCTCCTCCAGTTGTTCGGCAGCATGAGATGGCACACCATACCATGTCTTTGGCTCCCCCCTAGCAAAAAGAAATAACTGTTTAGCTAGGTGAGCATGGTACCAATGAGGCCAGGGTCTCTCATTCGAATCCTCTAAACTATAATTAATTTTATCTTGTTCCATGGTCACAGATTATATACCCTGAATCTTGGCAAATCAACTCATAAATCTGTTCATAACAGGAGGTAAGGCAAAGTATATAAATAGGTAAATACATACTTATCACTACTATTAGAATTAATTCAATTCTAAATCAATTAATTTAATTAATTCAATTAATGCAATTCAAAGCACATGAACTCTTTAAGGTGGATCACTAAATAGTTTCTTCAAAAAGGAAAGACACTATATGAAAAATAAGCATCATTCCAAAGGATACTGACATACTACCTTGTTTCCCAAGTCTACTGGACATTCAATTATCCCCACAATGCTTAAAGTTGAAGTCAACACTCTGTAGAATACCTTTTCATTAACTTCCTTAAGTTGGATTTTACTATCCAAAAAACTAAGGCAAGGGTAGAAATTGTTGAAACCTTGAAAAGAGTTCTATCTACAAATCCTAAGGACCAAAAACTTGACATCATTAATGCACTAGATTTTAGTGGACTAGAGTTCATTTATGATACTAAGTTGTACTCCTAGGAAATGGATTTAGTGAGTCATGCTATTTATAAAATAACTGAATTCCCTAATCCAAATACAATCCACTGCTGTCTCCAACAGAACTTACTGCAACAATGAGAATGTTCTATGTCTGTGCTGGCCAAGACATAGGGCCCTAGTCACCAGTGACCATAAATCACTTGAAATGTTTCCTGTAACTGGGGAAGTACATTTTTAATTTTACTTAATCTTAACTAATTTAAATAACCAAATGTAGCTAGTATTACACAGCACAGTGATGAAGCAGAGAAATAAAATCACTATAGTTTTCCAGTACTACATAGTGTGATTTGAGTAGTATCATCCAAATGGAGAAAAATATCATTTAATTGATATTATAATAATGGACAAAGAACTGGGCAAGTAAATAAAAGCTGCGGGGGAGACACAAAAAAAATTCAGCCAAAGAATTTAATGAATATGCATATAACAGGCATTTTTAGGGAAAATGTTATTAAAAAGAAAAAATCATTTAATAATTTCCAATCCTAAAGGTTTAGTCAAATCTTAATTATACATACTTTTTAAAATTATACATCCTTTAAAATCCTACCTTGCATATCAAAAGATGTATCAAAGTAATTTTCATGTATACCAAATTAAGTATCACTTCGTCTAAAACTCCAGGCTCCGCTGCATGTTGCATGCACATACTTTAAAACGGAAGGTGTCTGAGATGTATATACCCTTAGGACATTCTATACTTCTCAATACATTATCCTACTTTGGGTAGGAAATACTTTCAAATTCAGTTCTTGCTAATGTATCACCTAGTATCATTATAACTTTAAAAGGTTCCTAAGCATGTAACAAAGATCATACATACCAGTGTAAGTAGTTGATGGAATAACTCCAGTGATCTTCAATGTGCCAGCAGAAAGAAGAGAAACACATTCCTACATAGAGCCATGGCACTTTCATACCAGAGATGTCTACATTAATATGTGCAAGAACAGACTGCTCTAGGACAGGCATATTATTCAAATTCCAACCAGAAAGCGCATATTCCTATCAAGAAAAAAAAAGATGTAAATGCAAGATCAGAAATCACAAGTGCCCAAGAGAAATTTCAAGGGAGTCTTAAAAAAACAAGTAAAAATTGTATATAATATTTAAAATAATCTAGTCCATCTGTGCTCTTTGCAACACATAACTCATTTATCTATTTAATCCTATCTCCTGTGTAAGTGGTATTCATATTTCCCTTTAATTATTTCAGATACCTCTGGTTTATTCTGAAGCATATAAGCATTTTTATACTACTCCTCCCTAGCTTACTAGTAAAATAATGTGAGACTCATTTTAATAGGTCAGTATTATATTTCTATTTTACCCTCAGTAGTGTAACTTCCCAAAATGTTTACCACTCTATTTACAGAATGGTGTCAGATACTATGATAACAAAAAATAGTAAGACACATAATCCTGCATTTATGTCAACACCAAAGACTAAGATGATGCAGAAAGTCACCACTACCACCCTCACTACAAACACATCTAGAAATATTAGATAAATTATAATAAAAACATGTTTCATAGATGAACTCAAAAGAAAAAACAATTTCCAGTTTCCAGAAACAAAGAAGGGAAGGAAAGGAGAAAGAAAAAGGAAAGCTATTGTCTGAGTTTTCACTGAGGTTTCTAACTGGTTGTAAGAACCAAGTTGCAAAAACCTACCCCTGAAGCCAGATGAAGTAAAGCCTTAAAGTGCTTATCATCCTTCTGAAGAGCAGTTCTCAAAGTGGGATCTAGGGAACCTAAGACTATTTCAGGGAATCTGCAAAGTCAAACTATTTTCATAATAACTGTAAGATGTTATTTGCCTTTTTTACTCTCGTTCTTGCAGGAACATAGTGTGAGTTTTCCAGAGGATACAGGATATGTGACATCACAACAGACTGACAACAGACTGAATGCAGAAACAGATAAAAGAATCCAACTGCCTTCTATTAGGAGGTTGGTGACTGCTGAACCTGGATGCCAGGTACTGAGGGAAGGAGGGAAATTCCTTATTATGTATACTTTTATACATTTGAAACTTTCTATAATACAGAGTTTAAAAAATAAAACCTGCAAAGTAAGGGGTTTAACAGCCAACAGCAAAGCTGAAGAGAGAATGTGTCAACTAGAATTCAGATTTGAAAGTATCATCCATAATGTAGCACAAAAAAAATGAAAACTCTATGTGTGATTAAGAGTCGCAGAGGATAGAATAGGAAAGTCCAGCAGAGGTTTAAGTAAGAATTCCATTAAGAAGTAAAGACATGATTCATACCCTCAATAGGCTTTTTAAAAATAAGGCTTTCAGGGGTGCCTGGGTGGCTCAGTCGGTTAAGTGTCTGCCTTCAGCTTAGGTCATGATCTTGGGGTCCTGGGACTGAGCCCCACATCGGGCTCCCTGCTCAGCGGGGTCTGCGTCTCCCTCTCCCTCTGCCTCTCCCCCTGCTTGTGCTCTTTCACTTTCTCTCTCAAATAAATAAAATCTTTTAAAAAAGACTTTCAGTTGTTTTATACTTTAAGATTTTATTATTTGAGAGAAAGATAGAGCGAGCGAGAGAGTGCTCATGAGCAGGGGAAGGGGCAGAAGGAGAAGCAGACTCCCCGCAGAGCACAGAGCCTGACCCAGGGCTCAATCCCAGGACCCTGAGATCATGACCTGATCCGAAGTCAGACACTTAACCAACTGAGCCACCCAGGCGCCCCAAAAGGCTTTCAAAAATTACTACTCAATATGTTTTTTAGCTGGTCAGCTGGTTGTCTGAAAACATAATGAGCCAGTTGAAGAGATAAGGCCTACATACAAAAAGTTTCAAGACAAGGCTGTATAGGGGCGCCTGAATGGTTCAGTTGGTTAAGCGTCTGCCTTCAGCTCAGGTCATGATCTCAGGGTCCTGGGCCCCTGCTCAGCCGGGGGTCTACTTCTTCCGCTTCCTCTCGCCATGCTTGTGCTCTGTCTCCTGCTTTCTCTCTCAAATGAATAAATAAAATCTTAAAAAAAAAAAAGACAAAGCTGCATATATTAACCTCCAAATACAGATAAAAGAGCAATCTCTTTAGTTCTTCAGGATGGGTTTGCATCATTAACAAAACTTCATAGAAAAGGAAGAACCCCAGTACAGCTTGGAAAAAACAGATTAAGCTTTGACAGTAAATAACAGAGACACCAAAAATATACTGTTCTGTCTGGTGAAGGGGAAGAGTAGAATAGTCACACTCAGAAATACAGGAAATAAGATTAGAAAAGAAGAATCTTGGACCTTTAATCTTACATTTCAAACTAAGAAGCTTGGATTTTATCCTATACTCAGAAGGGAAATAAAACAGAATTTGAAAAATGGAATAATATAAATATAGTATCTTAAGTATTTTTAAACTTTTGATTATGAAAAATTTCAAATATAAACAGAAGTAGACAGAACTGCATACTGAACTCCCAAAGACCTTTCAACCTTGAAATTTTAAATAAAGGAATATATAAAAAAGACTACAGAGAAAAGCAGTACGAAAATGGTTAACATAACAGGCCTAAGACTGCAAAAAGTCTGCTTAAAGTTCTGTCAGCTGGTATATGCAAACTTAACATGATAACAGTTCCCTACACTAATACAGAGTGATTCACAATGCCTAGGATGTACAATGTGGTTTATATACACTTGCTTTCCTTCTGGGAGTCTGGGATTTTAGTATGTGTTAAGTAGAGGATGCCTATGTCACCAGCCTCCAATAAAAACCTTGAGCACTAAGTCTCTAATGAGCTTCCGTGGTAGGCAATACTTCATACATATTGTCTATTTGATACTAATGCATCCTGTGTAACTCCACTGGGAGAGGACTCTTGGAAGCTTCTACCTGGTTTTCTCTGGACTTGGACCATGGATCTTTTCCCTTTGCTAATTTTGCTTTGCATTCTCTTTCACTATAATAAATCATAGCCATGAGTCCTCCCAGAAAAATCACTGAACCTGGAGATGGTCTTAGGGACTCCCAACACAAGTGGTCATTATGTAAGACCATGGCAAGCATCCCAACATGATGTGATAGGACCCAGACAAGGATGGTAGCAGTGGGTAGGCAATCCTACAGAAAAATAATGAAAAGTGAATTAACAGGATTTAGTCAAGGATTTAATATGGAGCAAAGACAAGAAGAAAAAAAATGTTCCCAAGGTTTCAAGTCCTATGCCTCTTTTTATTTCTCAGAAGCCCTGTTGGTAGACCACACTGTACTCATAAGACAAATACGTTAACTTCGGAAGTACTTTTCCGGTTAACTACGATACCAAAGAAATATGCTATCAGAAATCAAGAGCTAACCCATACAGAAGTTCAATATAAATGTACGACTCCTGGTGAAAAGCTAGCAGTTATCTGCTATTCTAATACAGTAACTTTCAGAGAGGAGTAATGAACTGATATAAATATATTTAAAAAGTCTGAAGGCTTTTTTTTTTTTAAAGATTTATTTGAGAGAGAAAGAGAGTATGTGGGGGAGGGGAGGCAGAGAGAGAGAATCTTTAAGCCGACAGCCCGCTGGGTGCAGAGCACAACTCACGAGTTGATCTCACCACCTGGAGATCATGACCCAAGCTGAAACCAAGATTCAGCTGCTCAACTGAATGAGTCACCCAGGCGCCCCTAAAAAGTCTGAAAGTTTTATACACATTGTCTAATTAGTCCTTAAAATCCCTCTATAATAAACAGGTTCTCTCATTCCATCTTACAACACAAAAACAATATCCTGAGAAAAACATTATTGCTTAGAAAATGAAGAGCAAATCCATGACCCAATCTAGAAAAAAAGGCTGTATCACCTGTCTCTGCATACTATGGTTTGTTACAATCCAGCATTTCTCCACATTCTTACAAGAAGGTGAACTGAGCAAAAGCAGAAGTAGATAAATGAATATTCACTCAAAACTCAAACATGGAGAATTATTTATATTATTAATATTAATCACTTAGGTTTGACACTGAAAATAATCTTTAAAAACTCTATGACCTTGTCTCTAAGATTAGAAGAACAACTTAAAAATTCAAAACAGAGGGGCGCCTAGGTGGCTCAGTCATTAAGCGTCTGCCTTCGGCTCAGGTCATGATCCCGGGGTCCTGGGATCGAGCCCCGTGTCGGGCTCCCTGCTCTGCGGGAAGCCTGCTTCCCCCCCCACTCCCCCTGTTTGTGTTCCCTCTCTCACTGTGTCTCTGTCAAATAAATAAATAAAATCTTTAAAAAAAAGATTTCATTTATTTATTTGAGAGAGAGAGAATGAGAGAGAAAGCACATGAGATGGGGGGAGGGTCAGAGGAAGAAGCAGACTCCCTGCCGAGCAGGGAGCCCGATGCGGGACTCGATCCAGGGACTCCAGGATCATGACATGAGCCGAAGGCAGTCGCTTAACCAACTGAGCCACCCAGGCGCCCAATAAATAAAATCTTAAAAAAAAAAAATTCAAAACAGAAATAAAATTCAGAAAAAGGCAAGAGCTATATAATGAAATCTCTTCCCAATAATTCGATAACTGCCTACCATTTGGCAATGGAAAGGTATAAAGAAACTCAGATTGATGCATCTCTTTATACTTATACAAACCAGCTTTAATTCAGTGATACTGAACAAACCATCCCTATATAATTTATGTTCACCATCTACTGTAATCATTCTTTCTCCCTTAATAAAACCCAGTACGTATTCTCTAATCTATATTATCCTAACCTGATTATTATAACCTGTACTCCATCTTCACAGAAAGAAAAAAGTCCATTAACAAGGCTAAAATAAAAAACCCAAAAGACACTCACAACTTTTGATCATAAAAACAAACCAAAATGAAAATTTCACTCCGCACATATTAAGTGCTGTTATTGGTTGGAATAATACACAGTGAGATGGTACTGTGAATAAACTGGGTAGGTAATGCTATAAGGAATTAGGATGGACTGGATAGGGCCTGAAGGGACTCAAAAACAAAAAACAAAAAAGGTTAAGTCAGGTACAGACCATGTACGTAGTATATTCCATTTCTGTTTAAAAGGAATATGTAAGGGACACCTGGGTGGCTCAGTTAAGTGTCCAACTCTTGATTTCAGCTCAGGTCATGATCTCAGGATTGTGAGATAGAGCCCCCCATCAGGCTCCACGCACAGCAGGCAGTCTGCTTGAGATTCTCTCCCTCTGTCCCTTCCCTCTCCGTGCGCTCTCTAAATAAATAAGTCTTTAAAAAAATAAAAAAACAAGTAAATAAAAAAGAATATGTAATTTTGTATGTGTGACATATAAATGTTTGTATAGATATACTATATCTGGAAGGATGCACTACAAAGTAAAATAGGGTCTTCCTCTGTCACACTAGAGATTTGGGTAGGAGGGAGACTTTTTTTTAAGATTTTTTAATTAAGTATTTGAGAGAGAGAGAATGCAAGCAGTGGGGTGGGGGAAGGGCAGAGGGAGAGGGAGCTGAGCAGGGAGCCCGACGCCAGGCTCAATCCCAGGACCCCAAGATCATGACGCGAGCCAAAGGCAGACGCTTAACTTAACCAAATGAGCCACCCAGATGCGCCAGAAGGGAGACTTTTAATCGTAAAGAATTTCCAGCAGTGGTAATATGAAGAGGTTGGGCAATTCCTCCACAGAAAACAAAGATAAATCTGGACAAAATTACCAAAACAACCATTTCAAGGCACTAGAAATCAACAAAAGGAAAAAAAATTGAGAAGCATTTACTGCTGAAAGACTAAACGAAGGCTGAATAAAAAACATTCCCAAATAAGCAAAGACTGAAAGAATTCATTGCTTAGGAGATCCACACTACAGATAAAAGCAGTCCTCCAGGGTGAAAGAAACGAACACAAAAGGTAACTCGGATCCCACAGGAATAAATGAAGAGCATCAGAAATGATAAATTTGTGAGTGAAAATGTAACAGGGTATATGTGTGTTTTTTTCTTTTCTCTTAATGTTTTTTAAAAGTAAAATGGTTTAGGGGCGCCTGGGTGGCTCAGTCGTTAAGCGACTGCCTTCGGCTCAGGTCATGATCCCAGGGTCCTGGGATCGAGCCCCGCATCGGGCTCCCTGCTCCGCGGGAGGCCTGCTTCTCCCTCTCCCACTCCCCCTGCTTGTGTTCCTGCTCTCGCTGTGTCTCTCTCTGTCAAATAAATAAATAAAATCTTTAAAAAAAAAAAAAAAAGTAAAATGGTTTAAAGTAATAATTATATTGCTATGTTGTAATCATACAACATGTAAATACAATATATAAGGATAGACAAAAAAGACAGCAGGAAATAAAGAGACACTGTTTCAAAGTTGTTACAGTCACCAGAATTAAGTCAATATTAACATGAAGAAGACTGCACAGAGATGTACACTGTCAATAAAACCATTTAAAAAAAAGATGCATATTATAATTCTTAGAACCACTAAATAACTAAAAAAGTATACAGCCAAACAAAAAAAATCTGGAAAAATTAAAATGGTATTATGAAAAATATCTGTTTAACACCAAAAAAAGGCCACAAAGGAGAGCTGGAGGAACAAAACATACGAGACATACAAAATCACAAAATGGCAGACATAAGTCAACGATATCAATAATATTAAATGTAAATGGACTAAATAACTCCAATCAAAAGGCAACCCTCAGACGAGATTTTAAAAAAGCAAATCCAATCATATGCTGCCTACAAAAGACATACTTTACATCCTAAGATACAAACAACTTCAAATTAAAAGAATGGAAAAAGATACACCTTACAAACAGTTACCTTAAGAGAACTGGAGTGGCTGGCTATACTTTTAACTGTATATCCTATCGCACTATGTAACCTTTTTTTCTGTTTTTAACCATGTGTAACTTTTTTTTTTTGAAGGTTTTATTTATTTGAGAGAGAGAGAGAGAGTGTGAGAAAGAGCGTAAGAGAGAGAGATCACGAGCACAGGGAAGGGTAGAGGGACAAGCAGACTCCCTGCGGAGCAGGGAGCTCGATGCAGGACTTGATCCCAGGACCCTGGCAGATGCTTAACCAACTGAGCCACCCAGGCGCCCTCATGTGTAACTCCTTTAATAGGAAATAAAACTTTTTTTTATAAATAAATAAATTTATTTATTTGAAAGAGAGAGAATGAGAGAGAGAGAGAGAGAGAGCACATGGGGGGGGAGGGTCAGAGGGAGAAGCAGACTCCCTGCTGAGCAGGGAGCCTGATGTGGGACTCGATCCCGGGACTCCAGGATCATGACCTGAGCTGAAGGCAGTCGCCTAACCAACTGAGCCACCCACGCACCCAGGAAATAAAACTCTTAATCATTGCCAATTATAGAGAAAAAGAAAAAGTAAAAAGGACCAAAATAATGAGAAAAAGAAATGAATGATCATCTTAATTCAGCTTTGTAAATAGAGGCCATCTCCAATGTGACAGGACTTCATTGTTACAGTTTAAACATATTTGAGGGGCGCCTGGGTGGCTCAGTCGTTAAGCGTCTGCCTTCGGCTCAGGTCATGATCCCAGGGTCCTGGGATCGAGCCCCGCATCGGCTCCCTGCTCCGCGGGAGGCCTGCCTCTCCCTCTCCCACTCCCCCTGCTTGTGTTCCCTCTCTCGCTGTGTCTCTCTCTGTCAAATAAATAAATAAAATCTTTAAAAAATAAATAAATAAATAAATAAACAAACATATTTGAAAACCTACCTGCTCAGTTACTGAAAGAAACTTAATTTTGGACCTATCAATGAAATGTAATTTTTTTTAAAAATTCTTAAATCACCTTATAGATTCTCAAACAGAAAGAGCTAGGCAAAATTCTTTTAAGTGGAATAATAGTTTTAAACTAATTAAATTGGTTTTAAAATGCAAAGTTAAATTTAAAAAAAATTTTTTTTTATAAAAGCAGAGTTTGAGTGATAGTACAAAGCTCCCAAAGAAGGAGGCGACCCAAAAGGGTTGCCCTAAAGTTAAATTTTTTAAAGATACTTTGAATATATTGTTTTTAAAACTGAAAATTATTTATAACATCCAAATCCTATATATTTAATATTTTAAATGAAAGTAAACCCTTAAGATTAGATTATAGAAAGGTAGCTTTCTACTAAGCAAAGGCTAAATCAACTTGGAGTAAGTTTCAAGTACTACTATCTGCTCTGCACCTCTTCTTCTGGCAGCATCTTTCTCCGACCATCCTTTACAGGAAATCCACTTCCAAAGTCTTTTGAGGAGATATCAGCTCCATACTCTACAATAACATCTTCTTCAATGCTGCTCACCAGCCGCCAGAATTCCTTTTCTACTAGTTCTGTAGGAACCATCTATACAGGGAAAACAAAGATTACAGATTACTAACTCACTATAACCATAAACTTCTAAAACATAATATGCAGGTCAAGTGAACACAAACCTATGATAAAATGAAAAAATCTTATTTCCAGAGCTGAAAAGACCAGGGTCCACTAAGCTTTTCCCACTAAGGCTAGGGAAAAGCTAGACAAACTAGATGTTTAGAAAAACATAATAAACTTGCACTGCCTTTTTGTGTAAGGTATTTCCCAGCTAAGAAATGTACACATGACCCATCAAGCAATCAAGGAGGAAAAAGGAAATGCAAAAATTCAAGGCTACATTTTAACAGGTCTGGCAAATGTTTTGGATAGGGATTTTAAAAAACCCAAGATCCCCTAGGAAAAGAAGCAAACTTTGTATTACAAATAACAAAAGGAGCAACTGCCACATACTTCATGCTTTTCTATAAAAGATTACTCACGCAAGGCTAATAAACAATTCAAAGATCAAAGGAAATTTCTCAACAGAAGAGTACACACTGCCACATTAGTGAGTGAAAGATATAGAAACAAATACCAGGCCCCTCAATCTTTAATATTCTATCATCTTTTTCATGCTGTCCCTGTTTTCCACAAAATGATGAAAGCAAACCAAAAGCTTTAGACTCAGATAAATCTTCATACCTCCCCAAACTGACCTAAATGACAGATACTCACATGAACTGGCATATTGAAGTAATCAGACTTAAAATTATCTGCCATCTCTCCAAAGCTCTGAAGTGTATACTCTCGTACAGCTTGTTCAAATCCAAAGGCCTCTCGAGGTTTATTACATTCCTAAGAGTAAGAAATACCTAAGATTAATTCACTTAAAATGAACTAACAAAATATTAAAGCTCTTGGTATTACCTTCTTTGATCATTTCCCTAGGTGAAGCAAATCCAATCAATCTTAGACAGCAAAACAAGTATTAACTACTTGCAATATAGAATCAGGAAATAATGTTCTAGAATCTCAATACATTTTCACAGCCTTCCATAAGGAAGGTGGTAATGAGACAGCTTCAGACTCTGGAGTTGACATTAAGCTCTGGCACCAAGACAAACACCAGGAGAACTACTGACATGCAATCAAGCCTAGGGATGCCTATCATTCTGTTTCTCAGTGGATTTAGCTAGAGAGAAAATAAATGTTCATGGATGAAGGAAAGATAATAGATAAAGGAATATCCACTGGATTGCAAGAATATCTAGCCATAGGAATGGTTGTTTCATACCATCAATAACCCTGACCAGTATTTTAACACAAATCCTCAGAGCAGAACTGCTTCTGAATCATCTTACCTTGAGAATAATAACTCAAAGCTCTGAATACACCTATATACAGCCCAGCCAAGTCCTTCCCTTCCATGTCCTATCACAGTATTTTGTTAAAATAAATAAACAGGGGCGCCTGGCTCAGTCGTTAAGCATCTGCCTTCGGCTCAGGTCATGATCCCAGCATCCTGGGATCGAGTCCCACAACGGGCTCCCTGCTTGGCAGGAAGCCTGCTTCTCCCTCTCCCTCTCCCACTCCCCCTGCTTGTGTTCCTGCTCTCGTTATCTCTGCCTCTGTCAAATAAATAAATAAAATCTTTAAAAAATAAAAAAAATTTTTAAAAATAAAATAAGTAAACAGATTAGGTATTTCAGGCCAATAATGTCTTTGTAATCTTTCAATAAGAATAATCCAGTATAATCAAGTAAAAATTAAACAAGCTAGATACCATCAGTTTATCTGGTAACATGAAAACTGGATGCATAAATCCTAAGTTCTAGAGCTTCACGTCTTTTACTTTTCTTTTAATTTTAAAGAGACAAATAACCTACAGTTTTTCTTCATTTTTATTATTTTCCAAGAATACTAACGTTCTGAATAAAAGTATCATTCATCTTCAGCAATAAACAGAATTATCTAACCCATAGTCAAAAGAAGAACTTTTGAAAGCTAAGCTGCCACAATACAATTACTATATTTTCATTCAATATTGCTCTTAAACAAATCCCAGAGGTTTTTTTTAAGATTTTATTTTTTTATTTTTATTTATTTTTTTAAGATTTTATTTATTTATTCATGAGAGACAGAGAGAGAGAGAGAGAGAGAGAAGCAGAGGGAGGAGCAGGCTCCCAAGGAGCAGGGAGCCCGATGCGGGACTTGATCCCAGGACCCTGGGATTATGACCTGAGCCGAAGGCAGATGCTTAACCATCTGAGCCACCCTGGCGCCCTTTTATTTATTTATTGATAGAGACACAGTGAGAGAGGGAACACAAGCAGGAGGAGTGTGAGAGGGAGAAGCAGGCTTCCCGCTGAGCAGGGAGCCAGACATGGGGCTCGATCCCCCTGGGATCATGACCTGGCTCAGCTTAACGACTGAGCCACCCAGGCGCCCCAATCCCAGAGATTTTAAACATTGAAGAACAAAGCAAGAGCTTTTGAGAATGGGTTTACTGTATGTGTGTATGTGAACATCACTGCTGTTAATTAAATAAGGATCTGTAAAGGTTAGGCTTGTACCTCAGCAACACATTTAGGACACCTCCAGTCTCCTTTGGGCACATCAGGTAGTGGGGGAATTAAACAGAATGTATGATAGCTGTCATCACATCCATCACACAAAAGCAATTTATCTTCATTATTTCCCCGACCACAAAACATACAAACATAGAGATCAACCTGTTAGAAAACAAACAAGATAAAAGTCTATTTTCTATAATAATAATATTAAATTTTTACCAGGAACTCCTTAATTGAAACAAAATAATGTACACTAAAAGTACACATAACTTAAATCCTGAATATTTTTTAAATGATTGTATTTAGACAAGTTTTCATAAAACTTCCTCAATTTCCTCAGTGCTTCTACAGGCAAGTTAATAAAAGCATATCAAGTTATCGGAATAAAGAAAGACCACAAATCCAGGTTACTTGAAAGTCAATTATATAAATAAAATACACCATGTCATCCTTCCTACACACACCTCTTTGACAGAGAATGAATACTGAGCACTGTCCACATTACAGCGCAAGAATTTATAGATTCATATTCATTCTCTCACTCACAAGGTACATGTGAGGATAACTCAGGGAAAGAGTCAACGTAAACAGACAAAGCAAGGTTCACATTACATAAATGAAAGCTGCAACTTTAGATTTACCATCTAGTCTTCTAACCAAACGAACTAACTAAACGGCATACCAATATATAGCGAGATAAAAAGTGCAAAACTAAAAATAAATCCTTTCCCTCCTGACACGTCTCAGAACACTTACAAAGTTAACAGAGAGAGTTCCTTTCCGTTGTCTCATTTGCATGTTAAATGCGTCTGACCTGTTGGTAACTTTTCGTCTTCGGGAGACCTCATCTTGAAATAAAAATAGTTATATAATAATAGTAAAAACTAATGTTGAGAGCTTACTATGGACCAGACACTATTTAAAATAATTTAAATTAAATCTCAAAACACTATGAGGTAGATATGCTATTATCCCCATTGAAGATAAAGAATCTAAGGTATAGAGAAGTTAGATAACTTGCCCAAAATCACACAGCCAGTCAGTGGCAGATTTGGAAATCTAATCCAGGCAATCAAGCTCCAGAGAGCTTAACTACTAATTCTATACTGCCTGTATGTAGTGCTTATCAGGGACTAATTGAGACGAGTTTTAAGATCACTACCAGCGAATGCAGTAAGTACAAGAATGAAAAAGATAAAGTGCTTAATTCTTAGAAGGGTGATAATAAACATCATAATGTATTTAGTAGGTCCTATCACACTGAATGTTTTTAAGAGTGATGGGACAATATCATCTGACCCTCCAGAGTTCTCATCCATAATCTGAATTGTGACTTAATTTCTCATATCATGAAAAGGGTAATAATATGACTCGTGATTACAGCATTTCATTAAATTCAAATACATCAAAAACAAATCCAACACAATCTTTGTAGAGTTTTAAAACTGACATGTACATAGAGAGAATAGTGGAACTTGATCTTTGCATTAGCAATTTTACTCAGAAAGTTTCAAACATACTAAGCTGAGAGTACAAGGCTTTCTTCAAACACAGAATTTAAATGAAGTGTCATAATCTATCAAGGCAATTATGGAAAAATAACAAAATCAGAATTAGAATTTTAGTCATAAGCTCTCCACAGTACATTTTGTTACTAAAGGTCAGAGAATCCTGTCTTTGAATTTAAAAGTTATAAGCTATGGACCACCAGGTAAGAACCATTCATTTCACCATTCTCTCCTAAACTAGCCTTTAGAAACTATAAATTTCTGCGTAACATATTAGAAATGGAAAAGGAAAATTTCTCTCTTCCAAATATTACAAAAATTCAATAAAATATGGTTCCTCAAGCCTTAAATTTAAGATTATATGCCATAAAAGGTTATCTGTCTAGGAACCACATTCCAATGTTTACACTCATCAGAAAATCCCAAGGCAAAATGCAATTCAAATATTTGAATCTTATTAGAACCATATGGCTATACATTATTTCTTTTCATGACCGAATAAGAGATTTTTACCTTCTTTATCTTTTGCTCCCATTGCTAGGCCCACGACCTTAGGCCCAGCCCCAAAAATTCGAAGTTTCTTCAGTTCCGTGTTTCTGTTCACTTCCCCAGATTCTGACTAAAAAAATAAATAAATAAACAAAACTCACATTATCTAATCATTCTGATTCATATATTTATTTTCTTACCTGAGGAAAGTTTCAAGATCCTCTTCAATATGAAGAAAAACATATTTTATTTCTTCTCTCTAAATCCACTCACTGCCTCATTACAAGAGCTGAGGAGTCATCCAAGCACTATGCAACACCCAGCTTCCTTTCCACAAAGAATCTATCTTTATTAAAAGCACAGTTGTCAATTAGGTTCTGTCCAGAGACAAATGCCACTGGTTATAACCAGTATAATACTGGTAATAATAGAAATCCTCACTCTTACTTTGCTAACGGACACCCATCTTGATCAGAAGGCAATATGCCCATCCTATTAGATAAATAATGATTATCCTAAGCCAATCATGCCATTTCTCTTTGTTAGTGATGACCTAGCTAGGAGAGGAAATGTTATCCTGGTCTAGACCAATGAGACATAGAGAACATCTACTAGAAGCCTCGGGAAAGATTTTCATCTTCTAATAAAAGAGAAAGCTTCTCAAAGAGTAATAAGCCTTTTACCCCAACTTCTTTCCCCACTGTTAGGAGATTCAGCCTGGTGAAAGCATTGCGCTGGACTCTAACAACCACACTGCAATTAGGAAGAGATATACTACCCACACACTGAAGAAAGCAAGGTAGGAAGATGGAAAGAGCCTGGCCCTTCATGGCCATGTGCAGTTGCTGCATCAATCCTAGAACTACCTATTTCTGGAAATCTTATGTGAAAACTGTGTCCTTATGTGAAAATTGTGTTGTGAATGTTTAAGCTGATGTCCTCTGGCACTCTAGTACTTGAAGATGAGAGCATCCTGATAGATGCAAATGTTATACCATGAATTCAGATGGACCATACACACTGAATGTACACTAAGTAAATAACTAAAACTTATTAAAAATACAGTCAATAAGAATAAAAATAAATCAGGATAAAATAGTCCTTATAAGTCTATGATCATATAAGAACCAAACCAACCAAAATGGCATTTTAATATATATAAACTTTAGTAGATTGATTTAATTAAACTAATCAATCTCTACAGTCAGTCCAATGATAAACACGACACTATACATTCTTCATCACTATTAATGTACAGTACATAAGAAAACCTAACATACACTAAGTAGATACTATGTGCCATATAAAAGTATTTTAATCAATTAATCCTCACAACAACCATTTCAGACAGGCAATAAAGTTCCAAAAAGTACAAATAATAAAACATTATCTGATCTTAATAGAATAAAAACTAGAAGTAACAAAATAAAAAATAAAAAGACCTGTTAGAAATCTTTAACTTCCTATTAAAAATGATAACAACAAAAAAAAAGACTATACATCAGAATCTCCAGAATAAATTAAAGCAGTGATCACAGGAAGTTTTATAGTCTTAAACATTTCAGTCAAAACAGAAGAATGGAAATAAATTAAGTTTCCAACTCAAAAAGCTAGGAAAAGAGCTACAACATAAACCAAAAGAACTCTGTGATGCTAGATTAGAACTGGAATTATCAGTCCATTTCTGAAAATATAAACTCATAATGTTTTAAATTTTATTTCCCAGCCCTACCCACTAAAAGGGCCTACCAAAAGCAATGGCATCCCAGTAGGAACAAGCACACCTTGTGCTCAGATCTGGGTTTCTAAGTATCATTTCACACTAAAATGAACCAGAATTCTGTGGAGAAATGGCTGATTCCAGGTCTAAAGCAAGGCAAGAAGACAATGAGCCTTTTTGTGCTAAATAAGTGCTCAAAAAGGATGGAGACATGTCAAAAGAGTATCATGAACCAGCTTGAAGGGGTTCCCATTAGCCAAATTTGGAACAATAGGATTATCAAAAAGGAATAAGAGACTGTAATAAACTACAAGACATTCTATTTTTAAAAAATCATGATCTATAGTGATACTAAAAAGGAGCAGGGGTCAGTCATGGTCCCACTGGTACACACATTCATCAAAATTCACCAAACTGTACACTTAAGATATAAACATTTTACTGTATGAAAAAAATACCTCAAGAAAGTGTGGGAGAAGAGTTCTCCTTTAAAGAAAAATGTTAACAAATGTAGAAAATGACAGAGCTAGAAAATCACCCAGCCTGCAACCACCAACGTAACAACTAACTCAGGTAAGATCATCAGTGAATGTGAAAACCACTGAGTAAAACTTAACTGGAAGACAGGTTATTCACACTATCTTATAGTTTACCCTGATTACTTTTATTACAAAGAGAGTAAGTATAATGGAGAAACCTGACTCAAACTTAGTGTCACCAATAATGAGATACACTGGCATTATGGGCTTCATTCTAATGTGTAAATGTGTTAAGGGTCTAATAACCCTTCATACAGACAAACTGTGAATCCAGCTTTCAAAAAGCTCACACGTGAGGTCTCAGATGAAAAAACAATCATAGCAGGGGTGCCTGAGTGGATCAGTCAGTTAAGTGTCTGACTCTTGACCTTGGCTCAGGTCATGATCTCAGGGTTGTGAGACAGAGCCCTGCATCAGGCTCTGTGCTCAACAGAGAGTCTGCTTGAGATTTCCTCTCCCTCTGCCCCTCCCCCCACTTGCATGTATTTTCATTCTCTCTCTCTTTCTCTAAAATAAATATTATTTATCTATTCTTTAAAAAAAATAATAAAAACAATCAAAGAAGAGTAAAGCAAGTGGGGGGATGTGATAGAAGAAAGGGGAGTAGGATAACTTTCGTAACTTCTGTTTCTTGTTTAAGAGACTACTAGATGGCTGTGCTTGTCATGGACATTAAGCTAGAAAATAACAAAGGAAAAACAGATTTAGAGAAGGTGGTAATGTTTGAGATACACTGAATTCAGCATACCTGCTGTGGCCACCAGTATGCATACAGGGGTATACACATACTATATGCACACACACACATCCCTGGTAAACAGAAAAGAAACATGGGTGTCAAGACATATTTAGGAGCCCTGAGTGTACAAGTAGTAATCGAAATCATAGGGGAGGGTAAGATAGCTAGGGAGAACAAAGCCGGGAAAAGACTTAAAACACCACAGAAAGGGCAATGGTAAGAGAGAACAAAGATGACTAAGGAGAGGTCAGAGTGAAGAGGATAACCAAGAGACAGGCATCACAGAAGCCAAAGAAAAATCAAGTTAACTGAATTTCAAGGGGAGGAGTCAACAACCATATTAAATGTATATATGATCAGAGATGAAGAAGAAATAAAAAAAGGTCCTCAGCTTTTGACAATTATTAACTCAGTGGTAACTGGGGTGGTGCAGTTTCAATAAAATGATTTAGCTCAATGTCAGATTACACAGTACAAAAGCTAGACAGATACTAAGGAAACTGAAACAACATCGACTGTTTTTCAAGAAACTTCATGAAAAGAGGCAAGGAGCAAGGCACAATCTAGGAAGGGAGATTTTGTTTTAAGATGACAGAGACTTTAAACACGTTTACAGAGCGCCTGGGTGGCTCAGTCGTTAAGCGTCTGCCTTCGGCTCAGGTCATGATCCCAGGGTCCTGGGATCAAGTCCCACATCGGGCTCCCTGCTCAGCGGGAAGCCTGCTTCTCCCTCTCCCACTCCCCCTGCTTGTGTTCCTGCTCTCACTGTCTCTCTCTGTCAAATAAATAAATAAAATCTTTAAAAAATAAAAAAATAATAAATAAATAAACACGTTTACATTGGGGGTAGGAGGAGATCCAGCAGACAGAGGTAAGAGAGAGAGATTTCATAAGTGATATATTAAAATCCCTAAAGAAGCCAGAAAGGACAGATGTGGGAAGATTATCCTTAGAGACGAAGGTACCCTATGCTCACAGAGATTGGCAGAAATTAAGAAAGAATACCAACAATTCTGTGTATGGGGCAAGAAGTCGAAGGAGTTCTACCAGAAAGCCTTTCTCTTCTTTCTGAAATTGAAGACTAGGAATGAGGCAGACGGCAATATAGTAATTAAGGACAAACTGTGAGTTGAACAAATTCTTCATTGAAAAGCCTACAATGGTTCTAGTTTCTACCTGGTACCAACCAATATGACTACAATGACAATTATTACAATGGGTAAAAACATTCTATGTGGTCCTTTTCATATATATAGGCAAGGAGCAGCAGCGCTTTTTCATGGTTTCAAAAGGAACATTCAAAGAAATTTCATCACAAGCTGTCAACTGATTAGAGGAGCAGGGCCACCTGGGGCAACTCTTCAAAAGTGAGTCACCAAGTCAGAGACTAGTCTTCAAGTGTTTCGGGTGTTGAAATAGAATCATCACTATACACCCAAAGATGATTAGAACTTTTGAGATCAACCACAGTACTAAAAATCACTTAATGACTAAACCAGAGTTTACTAATTTGTAATGGTTTATAACTAAGAATTCTCATTATGCTAAACATAAATTATAATTATACTATGATGCAATAAAATAATTTAATTATGAATTACAAAACAATTTATATTACATATTGGTAATTTACTAATAAATGAACATAAGTTTGTAATTCACTTTGCAGTGATTTTCCACTGAATTCACATTCTCAATCCAAGATACCTACCTTTCTCTTATCAAAGTACCTAAGAAGCTAAATTATTATTCAGGAGATTATTTAAGGAGCATAAATTCAGAGCAAGGAAAGCAGCATCTTACTGTCCTAACCTATGGACCTGTCAACTTTAAAAACACACTTTGAGGGGGCACCTAGGTGGCTCAGTCAGTTAAGCGTCTGCCTTCAGCTCAGGTCATGATCCCAGCGTCCTGGGATCGAGCCCCACATCAGGCTCCCTGCTCAGCGGGGAGTCTCCTTCTCCTTCTCCCTCTGCCCTCTCACCCTTGCTTGTGCTCTCTCTCAAAAAATAAATAAAATCTTAAAAAAAAACAAAAACAAAAACACACTCTGAGGACCACAAATGAGAATGGGGAAAGGAGGACAGATGCAGACAAGAAGAAATTAGGGCATTTTTCTTCTGATGAAATTATTTTAGGCTACAAGAACACTATAGAAGTTAACACTGGAATGGTTCAAACACTAAAACTTATACTCTAGCTTTTAAAGGAATGAATGAAAAATAAAACCACCCTTTCCTACTCCTCTCATTTTTGCTAACCACAAAAATAAACTACAGTTCATCAGCATGTCTATAACACTGGCCCTACAGTACCCAGAGTCACCCTCTGATTTGTCCTCCTCGTCAAAACTGTTCAAAATTAACAAAAAACTTTCTAAATCAGACTGAATTTTACAATTTCTTCCTTGTTCATCTTAAAGGTAAATGAAAGACAGGTCTCTTCACGTTCTAAAAAATAGTACGTGAATGACTCCAATAACCACATAATTGTTCTGCAGTCAATACACTTAAAACTCCTGTTAAAAATGATCCATGGAAGTTGATACCTGAGACTTGACACGCCTTGTTCTCTTCGGCAGAATGTTCATTCTTGTGCCTGGCTCTGGGGAAGTTTGGACATCAGTGCCAAGAACCTCAGGCTCTACTTTTTCCTTAAGATCTAAATTAGGCATCTGTACACCCTAAAGAATCAGAGCACAGAAAGAGAACAGGTTCACTGATAAGAAATCAGACTGGAGAATCAGGGGAGAAATAATAAATTTCCAATAAATCCCCAAAACTACATGAAACCAGATGACAATTCTACCCACCAAATTGATCTATAGATTCAAGACAATCCCTATCAAAATCCTAGCAGGCTTTTGTTGTAGAAATTGAGAAGTGAATTTCTAAAATTTATGTGGAAATGCAAATTCTTTGGATATTCTGAAAAAAGAAGAACCAAGTTGGAAGACTAACACTATTGGATATCAAAACTTACTATAAGGCTACAGTATTCGAGACAGTATAGTATTGGTGTTAGGGTGAGTATACGGACCAAAAAACGAAACAGAGACCAGAAATAAACCCACATTTGTAGTCAACTGATTTTCAACAAAAGTGCCCAGGTAAATCAACAGGAAAAGGGTAGTAGTCTTTTAAACATGACACTGGTACAACTGAATATTCATATACATATACATTTCCCCTCCCTCCCCCAAAATGAAATACTTCTACCTCATACTATACACATACAAAAAAAAAAAAAACTCAAAATGATCTCAGACCTAAATATAAAAGCTAAAACTATAAAACTTCTAGATGACAACAAAAAAGAGTATCTTTGGGGCCTTGGGTTAGGAAAAGATTTCTTAGATATGACAACAGAAGCACAATCCATAGAAGGGGGAAAGGAAATTAATAAACTACTCTTCAAACAGACACCATTACAAAAATGAAAAGATAAACCACAGACTAGCAGAAAGTATTTGTAAAATCATATACCTGATAAAAGACTTGTATCCAGACTATATAGCAAACTCTTAAAACAAGTGTAAGATGACAAACAATCCAATAAAAAAAAAGATCAGAACAGACACTTCATCAAGGAAGATATACAAATGGCTAATATGCACATGAAAAGATGCACAACACCATTGGTCATTAGGGAAATGAAAATTAAAACCACAATGAGATACCACTACACACCCATAGAATGGCTATAAGCAAAAAAACTGACAATACCAAGTGTTGGCAAAGACGTGAAGAAACTGGAAGCCTCTACATTACTGGTGGGAATGTAAAATGGTTCAGCCACTTTGATAAACAGTTTGGCAGTTTCTTAAAAAGTTAAACATAAACTTACCATATAACCCAGCAATTCCACTCCTAGGTATCTACCCAAGAGAAATGAAAACATATGTCCACACAAAGACTTATACATGAATATTCATAGCATTTATTCATAATAGCCATAAACTGGAAACAATCCAACTGTCCACCAACTGGTAAATGGATAAACAAATATGGTATATCCATACAATGGACTATTATTCAGCCATAAAAGGAATGAAGTAGTAATACAGGCTAAAACATAGATGAACCTTGAAAACATTAGGCTAAGCGAAAGAAGCCAGACACAAAATTATATTGTATAATTCCATCTATGTGAAATTTCTACAAAGGCAAAAAACTACAGAGCCAGATATCTGAGTTTGGGAGTACGAACAGGAACCAACTACAACCAAACACAAAGGAACTTTCTGGGCTGATGGAAATATTCTAAAACTGAGCTGTGGTGATCACTGCATAAATGTATAATTTATTAAAGCTTATTGACTGTGTATCTACAATGACTGAACTCTACAGTATGCAAATTATAACCTCAAAAAGCTCTTAAAAAAATACATGAAACCAAAAGGAGGAATTTTTCAAAAAGCTTAAGTAATGAGAATTTATTTTAAATAAATAAGAAAACATCCTTCACTCCCATTAGCCTTTATCCTGTAAACCACCAAAACTAGCTGCAATTTTTAAACCACACCTTGCTACCCCAAATATTGGTACCTGGAGAAATCTTTTTAACTTGCTATGCTTAGTGAACTGCTAACTTTTTACGGTGAACACAGTCTAACATTCAGATCTGGCAGACTGGATTTATCCACTCCTAAAAAAAAAAAAAAATGATGCATCTCACCATAAGGCTGACACCAGATTGGAAAAGTTCATATGGGTAGAGAATTCTTTCATAATGTGACTTCAAAAGAGACCCAGTTCCTTTTCCCGGCAGATATCCCAAGCGACTACCCACTTTAGACCATTTCTTCTCTTTTGTGACCATTTCAAAACCTCCTTTGCTGGCAACAATCTGAAAAGAAAGTAAAAACTATTTAGAGAAAGAAGGCAGATTCATGTATTTTGAATCTGTATCTTGCCTGCTAAATAGAAAAATTATTCTGAGCTTAGATTTCTAATTTCCTTTCCACAAATATCTGACAAAATTGAAACCTGTCAACATTTAAAGTATGAAATGGATGATTTTCCGAAGTTTTGAACTCTACTATTTAACTAATGTTAATGTGCCCATTTTCACATTCAAATACATTTAACGAATTTACACTTTGTACATTATACACCTTGAGAAAACTAAACAGTTTACTCGATATCCACAAGGAACTCAAAATATAAAATAAAAATTAAAACAAAAACAAACATAAGCATAAATGTAAGTTATACAGTACGAAATGAACATAAATCCTGAAATTGGGAAATGTACCAAATAACTTACAGAATTTTAACAAAAATGTCAAGGAAAAAGTGGATTCAAAGGCTATTTTGGAAAAGGCTGTAATTTTTCAAAAGGAGTTTTACATGGAAGATTATGAAGGAACGATGGGGAAAGATCAGATTACAGTGGTAGACTTACTAGAAAATATAGTACAGAATGTATTAACGTAGGAAGAGTTAAGATAAATTGGACAATTTGGCTGAATGCTCACATCAAACCAGGCACTATATAGAATATACATATATCAAGGTTCCCCCTTCCAGAAATTGATACTGTATATCTCTCACACTCCAAAATATAGGCAGTCTTCAGTTGACTGATAATAAAATAAAAAGGACTATGACATGGTTATTTGAACTCAAAAAAATTTCCTTGAGTGTACACTACTGTTATTTCTCTGTATCAAAAAGCCTGGCTGACTCAGTCAGTGAAGCATGTAACTTGATCTCAGGGTTGTGAGTTCAAGCCCCACATTGGGCGTAAAGCTTACTTAAAAAAAAAAAAAAAAGTTGGGACACATGGGTGGCTCAGTCGTTAAGCGTCTGCCTTCGGCTCAGGTCATGATCCCAGGATCCTGGGATCGAGTCCCACATCGGGCTCCTTGCTCAGTGGGGAGCCTGCTTCTCTCTCTGCCTGCCACTGCTTGTGCTCTCTCCCTCTCTCTGACAAATAAATAAAATCTTTAAAAAAATTTTTTTTTAAAAGTTAAAAGAAAAATTAAACATAAAATTACATGATTCAACAATTCCACCCAAAAAAAGTGAAAACAGGGATTTAAATAGATACTTGCAAACCAATGTTCACGGCAGCATTACTCACAAGAGTCAAATGGTGGAAACAACCCAAAGGTCCATCAAGAGATGAATGAATAAACAAAATCTGATATATACATATAATGGAATATCATTCATCCTTAAAAAGGAATGAAACTGATGCATGTGACAACATGGATCCTTGGAAACATGATCAAACACAAAAAGATGAATATTATATGATTCCACTTACATGAAATACCTAGAATAAACAAATTTACAGAGAAAGGAAGTAGAATAGAGGTTTTACATCAGGGGCCTGAAGGGAGAGGGGAAGTTCTGGAGTGATGGTTGTACAACATTTTGAATGTACTTAATGCCATTAAATTATACACTTAAAAAAATGGTAACTGTTATGTTATGCATATTTTACCACAATTTTGTATAAAAAGGTTAAGAACATGGACTGTGGAGCCAGACTGCCAGAGTTCAAATCAACTCCACTACTTAGTAACTGTGTGACCTTGGGCAAGTTATGTCATAATTTGCACTTCAGAGTCCTATTATTAAAATATTAATAATTTGGGCGCCTGGGTGGCTCAGTTGGTTAAGCGACTGCCTTCGGCTCAGGTCATGATCCTGGAGTCCCAGGATCGAATCCCACATCGGGCTCCCTGCTCAGCGGGGAGTCTGCTTCTCCCTCTGACCCTCTTCCCTCTTGTGCTCTCCATCTCTCATTCTCTCTCTCAAATAAATAAAATCTTTAAAAAAAAATATTAATAATTTAACAGCACTTACACTTTATTATGAGGTGGTTGTGAAGACAAATGAAATAAAACATGAAAAGCACCAGGACAAAATAAGCACTGTGTCAACGTTAGCAGTATTGTAATATCTGTGTGTGTGTGGGCAAGTGCGGGGTGTGAATGCTATAAATAAATGAACGTTTTGAGCTCTTGTACTCTACAATGCTCTTATAGACAAAGATGAACCTATACCAAAGCAAAATTTCCCTCTACTGAAAATGTGAAAGCTTGGTGGCAACATATAAGTTCACATGCACAGGAGTTGAACACATCTCTAATTCTTTAGTTTCTTTTAGCACATACTCAGAGAAGCCACCTCTCTTAAAAAAGGCTAGCCAGGGGAAAATTATAATGAGAAAAAAGTTTATTTTTCCAATGTTGTAGTGTAGAGGAAAACATGAGGGTGTTTTAGAAGGCTGTCTGGAAGCAAGTGCATGAATCAGGATGCCTTTCATTCACACCTTTCCAGTGCTTCCATACTGTCAGGTACTGTTCTGGGTGCTTGAGATACATCTGTGAATAAAATAAAGATCTTTGCCCTCATGGTGTTTACATTCTAGCAGGAAAAACAGGCCGTAAACATAGTATGTAAATTTTAAAGTGATAAATCCCATAGAAGAAACTTTAAAAAGCAGTTAAAAGACCTCACAAGCAGCAAAGTAAGGGTTTAACTGAAGTATTAAATGGTCACAAAAAACTTCATTATAAAGGTGAAATGTGAGCAAAGACTCCTTCAAGGTGAAGCAGTTACCCAAGCAGATATACAGGGAATAGTCAGAGCAGGAGCCCCATGTTAGAAGCATACCTCAAATGTCTGAGGAACAATAAGGAAGTCAATGTGGTTGAAGCAAGTGGAGAGGAGTCCGAAAGGAAACAGAAACTCTCTTAGTAATCTTCATTATACCGTACATTTATCACCATTACATACTACTCTAGTTTGTATGCAAAGCACTTTAAGTTAAATTTCCATTAGTAATGATATATCTGCATGGATCCAGTCAGGCTGTCCCATCCAGTTAAGATGCTTACTGGCATGCAGTTGTGAAAATGACAGCCAGCACAGAGTATGGCTAAGAAATAAGATAAAACTACCTCACAAAGAAATCAACACTATGACTTTGGCTTCGTGCATACAAACACTCTAACACTCTAACAGGGCCTGATACTATAAAAACACACAAAACTTTAGCACGTTTCTCTTCAGCTGACAGATTCAAGAATTATTATGTATAATTTCAAAATATAACAGAGCCATTAAAAAAAAAATGAAATCGGGGCGCCTGGGTGGCTCAGTCGGTTAAGCGTCTGCCTTCGGCTCAGGTCATGATGCCAGGGTCCTGGGATCGAGCCCCACATCGGCCTCCCTGCTCGGTGGGAAGCCTGCTTCTCCCTCTCCCTCTGCCGCTCGCCCTGCTTGTGTTCCGGCTCTCGCTCTCTCTCTCTAATAAATAAATAAAATCTTTAAAAAAAAATGAAATCTTTCCATTTGCAATGACATGGATGGAACCAGAGGGTATTACGCTAAGCAAAATAAGTCAGTCAGAGAAAGATAATTATCATATGATCTTACTGATAGGTGGAATTTGAGAAACAAAGCAGAGGATCACAGGGGAAGAGAGGAAAAAAATGAAACAAGACGAAACCTGAGAGGGAGAAAAACCATAAGAGACTCTTAATCTCAGGAAACAAACTGAAGGTTGCTGGAGTAGGGTGGGGTGGGAGGGATGGGGTGGCTGGTGATGGACATTGGGAAGGGTATGTGCTATGGTGAGCGCTGTGAATTGTAAGACTGACGAATCACAGACCTGTACCCTGAACAAATAATATATTATATGTTAATAATAAAAAATAATAAAAAAATAAAATAAAAATAAATTTAAAAAATTTCAAAATAGGGGCGCCTGGGTGGCTCAGTCATTAAGTGTCTGCCTTCTGCTCAGGTCATGATCCCAGGGTCCTGGGATTGAGCCCCGCATCGGGCTTCCTGCTCAGTGGGAAGCCTGCTTCCCCCTCCCTACTCCCCCTGCTGTGTTCCCTCTCTCACTGTGTCTCTCTCTGTCAAATAAATAAAATCTTTAAAAATTTTTTTTTCAAAATATAAAACCATTTACTCCATTTTGTCATGAACTGTATCACACCATTATCACTAGAAAAATATCACTTATAAGCCATGCCCTATAAAAAGATACATGACATGCAAAGATAAACTGAACAAAATGGAAACAAGCCCTTAATACTTGACCAAAGAATAATGTCAATCAAGGCCAAAATTTCCATCCAATGTAAAACTAAGTCTGCCCAGTAGAAGACAATCTTAACAGACATAAAGTAGCAGTACTTTTCTACTTAAAAGTTCCCTCTCAAGCCTCCACTGAAAAGACAGTAAAGGAACAAAAAGGCATAGGACCAAGAGAAAGCAGATACACAAGTGATAATCTAGCAGACAATATCAAAAACCAACCAAGCACCTTCAGTAGAAGAAAGCCAAGGAGAAGCTTTTCCAATACAGAGCCTAGAAAGGCCTAAGAAAAGGAAACAACAGTCCCTTAAAATTAGAGATGGCGGGGCACCTGGGTGGCTCAGTCGGTTAAGCGTCTGCCTTCAGCTTAGGTCATGATCCCAGGGTCCTGGGATAGAGCCCCGAGTTGGGACCCTTGCTCAGTGGGGAGCCTGTTTCTCCCTCTTCCTCTGCCTGCCACTCCCCCTTGCTTGGGTTCTCTCTTTCTCTATCCCTCTGCCAAGTAAATAAATAAAATCTTAAAAAAAAAAATAAAATAAAATCAGAGATGGCAATAAATAGAGAACAGGACTGGCTGAAAACCTGTATGAAAGCAATTAGACCTCCTCCAGTCAGCACAGCCAGGCAACTATTGCTCTCCAATCCCAGGACAAGACTAGAGATTTACTCTCAGGAGAGTTTGAAAAGAAGGGACTCTAACCTAAGAGAAATAGGTAAGCAAACTATAGGATCAGTCTAATACTCTAATGGTCTAACATCAAGTTATTAGTCTAACATCCAACTAATAAAAGTTCAGAAAGAGAGAAAAGATAAGTGGAAGAAATTATCAGACTACAGAAATACAAGAAAAGTTTTAAGACCTCAAAGACATGAGTTCAGATAAGAAAAGTTATCAAGTGGGGAGGGGGTGGGAGGATGGGGTGGCTGGGTGATGGACACTGTGGAGGGTATGTGTTGTAGTGAGCGCTGGGTGTTGTGTAAGAGTGATGAATCACAGACCTGTACCCCTGAAACAAATAATACATTATATGTTACTTAAAAAAAAGAATTAAACATACATGCCCGAGTGCCTATATCAAGTTTAAAAAAAAAAAGTTATCAAGTGCAATAAAAGTATTAAATGAGATAGTGGACATTCTCTTCTCAGAAGTGGTTTCATAGAGAAGGGTATCAGGAAGGCTATGAAGAAGGCAGTAGTTTGGGTATAAATGGAGGAAGACAATATGGCACATCACATGGAGCTAAAATTGGATCTGAGATCAAGGGCTACTAAAATTTTGCTTTTGCTTGTAGAGGTCTCCTGGATAGTTGTGCCACTGAGAAAGACAGCAAAAAGATGAAAGTCTTAGAATCATCGACTGGAATGATTCACAAATTCCCTTATGATGACCCGACTTACAATAAACTTCATGAAAACTTAGACAAAAATAAAAGGTAAATTTAAAAGCTTTGTTCATTGTTAAATGTTCAAGTGGACTTAAAATTAGTGCTGAAGATTCTAGACTTTCATTTTAAGGATGACAGATGAACAAAGATGAAACATCAAGGAATAGATGTCCATCTATTAAGTGTTTAAAAATGTGATAAAAAGCAAAACAATAAGTAAATAAACACGTATGTATACAATGAAAATAAACACATACCAACGCATTTAGCACTGTGAAATCTCAAGGCACTGGGAATAAAGATTAGATTCTACATCTTCAAGAAAAAGAAAGCCACATAGGAAGGAAAAAGAATTAATATAGCATCAGTCTCTCAACAGTAACACTGAAAGCTGAAAGATTATGGAGTAAAGCTTTCAAAATACTAAAGGAAAACAATTTACAACTTAGACTTCTAAACCTCACCAAACTACCACTAAAGTGTAAGTGTAGAACACTTTTAAATAAGCAAAAAATTGGGCGCCTGGGTGGCTCAGTTGGTTAAACGACTGCCTTCAGCTCAGGTCATGCTCCCGGAGTCCTGGGATCGAGTCCCGCATCGGGCTTCCTGCTCGGCAAGGAGCCTGCTTCTCCCTCTGACCCTCTCCCCTCTCATGTACTCTCTCTCATTCTCGCTCTCTCAAATAAATAAATCTTTAAAAAATAAATAAATAAGCAAAAAATTTACATCCCATTTATCTTCTTGTTCAAGAAACTAACAGAAGAAATGCTTCACCAAAATAGGAGGAAACCAAATAATATGAAGACTTGAAATAAGGGGAGAGGCAAAGGGAATTCCCAGAATGATAAAAGCAAAAGGAGGTTCCAAGGTGACAGCTGACCTTAAAAAACAAGGAATCTGGATTAGAGCAGAAAAAAAGAACTCCAGAGAAATGGCTCCAAGAAAAAATGGAACCGATAGATTACCTGACAGGTAAAGATTTATACTGCTGCTGGAAAATCTGAAAATAAATTTTTGATGGTTACAAAGAAAACTTAAAAAATAAAAACAGGGAGGGGGATTATTAACTCCAAGGAAAATAAAAATTGGTATAAGGGAAACAATCATAGCACACTATAAGGCTCAGATACAAATATTTGTATTTATAGTCACAGTAATAACTTTTGATTAATAAAAAATTGATCTAGGACACTTGGCTGGCTCAGTTCATGAAGCATGAAACTTTTGATCTGGGGGTTGTAAGTTGGAGCCCCATGCTGGGGGTAGAGATTACTTAAAAATAAAATCTTCAAAAAAAAAAATTTGATCTAACTATACCAGAATGGAACAGGGGAAGTATGTAAGGATTTAGGTTTCTTACACCCACTCTCCATCTCTAATAGTAGAAAATTAGTGTATAATATTTAAAACCGAAAAGTGAAGAACTAGCATGAGCATATTATTTGGAAATACACAGATCTAAATCAGAAACAGCTAAAAGAATTGAAAGTAATTAGTTCTGAGGACTGGGAATGGGAGTGGAGAGGTGGACAGGAAGAATGCTGGTTTTCATTTTAAGCCTTATATTTTAAAAAGTATTACACTGAGGAAAAAAAGTTTTTAAGGGCTAGAATGAATGTTCGTTAATGTAAAACTCCATTAAATTACAGACATTCCAAGTAACACTTTTTATTATTAAAAATAATAAGACAAAGTGATAATTTAATCAACACAGGAAACCATCAAAATGAGAAATTAATGACTGAGCCTGATAACTGAAAATTTGCTTCCCATTATAAACTAGTGGAAAGCAGTGTTTCAAGACCATGTCTATAATTACACAAACTCCAGAGATGCTCACCAGCTGTCAGCCAAATATATTTTTTTTAGTTTTAGTATAAAATTTAATGCAAAATTTTTAGAGCCTTCTGGCCTGACACTAAATTTAAAATGTATTACAAAAAGTAACTTAAATATGTTTGTCTTGTTTTTCCTTGAAAGTGAAATCTCCAAAATTCATTCTATAATTTGAGTAACATCTTATTTCAAAACAGTTTATCAATCAGAGGATATGAAAGGCCACACAGAAAAAGGTAATTTGCAAAGTTCCTCAGATAATCAAGCTATCTTCACTCACAAGTCAGAAGGATCATAAATTTTTATTATTGTATTAACAAAACATGTTTTGAAGGTAATTTAAATGCTGTTGTAGGTCAGTTAGTTCTTTTCACATTAGGAACAAAGTTAACAAGTTTAGGCAAAAATTAGTCTAAACTCTTCACCCTTAAGTTTTCAAACAATAATCTTATTCATTCTGGATAATGCTGGCTTCAGTTAACCATTAGCACTACTTACAGATATTGATACATATCACACATAAGAATGGTGAGTAACATGAATCTCTTTTAATGTAACAAATTTTCAATTAAGTAGAAAAAAGATGACCAGGTCAACATAAAACATTATACACTCAACACCAAGATAATATTAATAGATTGGTGTCATTTCTTTTGCATATTGTTTATCACAGAGCCCACTAATCTGTCACTAAATATGTTAAGTCTTACAATATAAAATAATTTTAAAGATAACTTCAAAATCTGTCATTTACATTTACTCATGCTTGCATTTCATTGTCAAACAAATCCTGCACAGGAAACGGTATTTTCCATCAAGTGTATTGGAAATTCTTCATTTCATAAATTCACTAGCCTCTGCTCCAATTTCTAAACCAAGTACAAGCCTCACCTTGCTCAAAGCATACAGATCCAGGATTTTTCTCTCCACCACTGGAATCTTCAAAGTAGATCCTTGGAGTTCCCAAAATTTTGCTAATTGATCCAAGAAGTCCAGTCTCACTCTGGTCATTGCCTAAGATTATTAAAAAACAGAAATCAGAAATAAGAATTAAGTTATGATTGAAAATAAATGAGTTTTACTTAACAAAGGTACTCATTTCTTTAAACAAATCCAAAGACTTCATTATTGCTTAGTCTAATCCTGTAAAATAAGGCAATAATAAACAAAATACTTCTAATAAACTTTATTCACTAAGGCAAAAAAGTCACTCCCTAATATATTAGAAATGTTCTTATATTTAATCAACCAAAGCAATTTTTTGTAAAAGTTGGCTTAACTTTAAGCTAACCAGAAAATTTAGTAAATTGGATTATTCTGTTTCTAAACATTCTATCACTTCATCCGTAGAAAATATGCCTACCTCAGGTACACCAATTCTCCACCCCACTGATATTAAGATCCTTCATGTATCTAATTACAAGAGACTAAAGGGAAAAAAGATTTAAAATCTCAGAAAATAAATGTTTCAGAAGCATCAAGGGGGGAAAAAAAAAAACTTCACTATGACATATTAAGCCTCAGCTAGCTAAGATTTCTCTTTTGTACTCTGAAACACTTTTCTACCACACTGAAGTATCTTCCGATAACCCGGCAGAGAGGAAAAACAGCAATATTTAAATAGACTTCAATCCAGAAAATTTAAGAGACTAGTAATATTTAAAGAGAGAGTTAATAAATCAGATTAACAGTCCTGGAAAAGTTCTGTTAAAGTTAAAAATAACCTTTGAAAACCTTTGATAAAATATTAAAGCCTACTTTTCAAAGACCCCCAAGAGACAGAATCTCCCAACATTAACATAAAATTTCAGTAGAATAATAAGGGCTGAAGAAGTAGAACTTAGAATTTCAGGTCTCAAAATGGAAAAAAAAAAAAGAATTTCAGGTCTCTGCAGGTAAGCAATGGATATTTCCACTATGAAAAACATAGCTAGAGATAGTTTCCCATAGTCCAGTTAAGCAGAAAAACTGTTAACAACTACTTTTTACAATTTTTTTTTTTTTAATCAGAAACTTCCATTCAGGCGCACCCGGGTGGCTCAGTCAGTTAAGCAGCCAACTCTTGATCTCAGCCCAGGTCTTGATCTCAAAGTTGTGGGTTCAAGCCCCGTGTAGGGCTCACCCCCCAAAGTGGATCCTACTTAATAAAAAAAGAAAGAAAGAAAGAAAGAAAGAGAAAAAAGGAAAAAAAAAACTTCCTTCCATTCAATCCCAACTAACATTAATTCTAAGCCCCAGTACATGAGTTGCTCAAAGTTCTCTACTAGAGCCCTGACATTAAAATGAATCAGGAGGCAGAAATCCTGATACAACACTCACCTCAAGTTCATTCAGGCGCTGGACTCTGGGAGTGAAACGAAAACTTTTTACTTCACATGCAAATGGAGGCTGCCAATCCTAAATAGAAATATATATATATATATATATATCTTTTTAAACACACTGACATATAAGCAAGGAATGCATTATTCATTCCCTTAATTTAAGGGATGAACAGCCATAAATCATAATGAAAACAAGTCTTTTTCATTGTAGAAACAGAAAGAGTAATATTTTTAGATGAGATATTTTTAATATTACTTATCTCCAATCATTCATCTCTCGTATCCTATTATTAAAATTATTTTATCTATAAATCCTCCTCAAACTTCACCAGTCCCATTATTTATAAGCCACAATTATGCTTTCTCCAATTACTCAAGTGGAATGCAGTGAATTCATGTATCATAACACAATGTCTAAGAAACACCTAAGTTTACCAAATTATAAACAGAATTTGAAAGAAACTAAAAAAGGTAAAATTGAAGATTAAAAAGTGATTTTTTTAAAGTACTTATATAATTGGTTAATATCTTTTTTTATTCATGTTTAATGTGACACAGCACTTTACAGTCTATGTTACATAAATGTTTTGTTCAAAGCCTGGTATTTCAGCGCCCAAATATTTAAAAAAAAAAAAAAAAAGTAAGCAAATCCACAGAACAAGGGCAATTTCCAGATTGGAGTTGTGGTATAACTGAAATGAGATAGCACAGTTCAAGCAGGGTTCTAGAAAACATATTTTGATTTGGCCTAAATAATAGTAAATCTACTTAAACATGTGAGAAGTAGTCAAAAAAATTTTTTTTTATCTTGGAAACTAAAGAACTTCATCAATATTGAAATTAAATTCTGCTTATAAACAAGATTTATTTTTAATAATAATATACAAAGAGAAGCTACAATCTTTTTTTAGTAATAAAAGGCATACATACACTTTTTTTTTACCTAAAGGAACCGTGAATACAATTTCTAATTCATAAAGACAACAGAGTAGATGAAAATATGGTTTAAGAAAAACTTCAGTGCTTAAAGTTTTGCCAGTATTAAAGGTAATTTTGATAGCTAAACAGTTAAATGAAGCTTTAGGAGGATGGCAATGCATATACCATCACTCATCATAGCAATCAGCTTTTAATCTTTTGCCTGTGATTAATAGTTTATAAATCTTAATCAAATTCATTAAGCACCAACAGGTTTAGCAGCATGTCTGGGTTTTAGAATCAAATAGATTGATCTAGGTTCAAAATACACTTTGCCACACACCCAAGATCATACATTTGATAAGTTATATAACTTATTCAAACTTGTCTCATCTGTAAAATGAGATGTTATTTACCCACTAGGGCTTCAAAGAATATTAAGTGAAATAATCTGTAAGTGCTAAATTAGCTCCTCCTCCTCCCTCCTATCTTAAGCTCTTTTTATTCTCTATGATGCACACCACTGTGGTAGTGTGTGGTGAGAGTGGACGCTTCTGAAAATGCAATATGGAGAACAGTACTTCACCATTTATTCTTATAACTAGTAAACAAAACACAAAGCAAGGACTCCGTTTAAGAAGCACTGAAGGCAACAGTTCACAAACGTTAATGTGCATTAAGCTTCATCTGAGAGTACGTGCTAGAAAAGCACATTCTAGAACTTCCACATCTAGAAATTTATCCTAGTCTGAAAAGGGGCCTAGAGATCTGCATTTTAGCCAGCATCTGGTTGAGCCTTGTGCAAGTGGACCAGGAACAGCATTTGGAAACGTAGGTCTTATGGGTAAAGAAAAAAAACCTTGTGACCTTGGGCAAATCACTCAACCTCTTGGGGCACTAATTCCCCCAAAGGAGCAGTTTCTGCTTTCCTTGCCTTAACGATTGAGGATTATAAAAAACCCACAGGCAAACAGTTATCTGCAATTGCAATTCATCAATCTTTGAACCTTGGTTTCTTATGTCAAGAGTAAACGTTTTCTTCCACCTCTACTGTTGACTAATTCCTCCTAAACCACCAAATTCTAAAATAAATGCTGCTCCTCTTCCCCTGGGAAGACTTTTTCATTGCAGCAACAAAGTCTAGGGTTCTTACTTTGTAATAACATTCTACGGGACAACTAGATCTCAGATTACCGTTTAAGAAACCTTACCCTTGAGATGAGGCCCGCAAATATTTAATAAATTAAGCATTAATAGAACTTGGATAAAAAAATAGTCAATGCAAGGGCAGTTTTTACTATAGCACCATAATGAGAGAGCACCATACATGAGGTAAGACATGTCCCTGTCCTAACACTTCAAACACCTTCTCGGCCAACGAAAGGTCTTTTGTTACCCTTGCCTACAATCAAAGGAGAAGAAAAGTACCAGCTCTCAAGTTCTAGGCGGAAAGGCTCCTGGGACACCACTCTCGCGTTCAGACGTGCCTACCACATATTATGCTGCGAAAGAAACCAAGGCAAGAACATCCAGAAACTTATCTAGTTGTTGAGAAGCAAGAGAGTAAATATGAAAGGGCAGAAGAACCGGAAAAGTAAAGCTAAAGCACTCTCCCCTCTCTCCTAGGACTCCGGTACCTTGGGCGGTCGGATTTTGCAGATGCCGGTTTTCTCCGCCAGAGGCCGGATGCGGCCGATAAAGCTGAGAGGGTCCGTGAACTCCTCCCAGCTGGGCTCAAAGACTGGACACTCGGGAGGTGGCACGAACTCCGCCGCGTAGCCCCCCGGCCCCACGCCTGCCATGGCAATACCCGGGAGGCCCCCGGGGGAGGGGGGGGAACAGGTGGAGAAAGGCTGGCTGAAGCCCACCGAACCCTCTCACGTCTCCTGACAGGGGCCGAAACTCATCTTCTCGGACAAGAACCGCTCAACACAGGAACCCCACAATCGCTTCCTCTTCTCGTTTGTTATTGTTTCCTTCAGGGTTTTTCCTCTCTGGGTCAGGACGTTTCCGGAAGTTAACGTACTGTCAAATCCCTCCGCCACCACTGAAACAGAATCCCTCCGCAGCAACGCGACGCCTCGTCGTAGGGCCTTCCTTCTTCCACCCTTTGCCGGCAGCCGGGTGTGGTTCCTAGTCTCCTTGTCTGCGAAAGTTCTGCGCTGTCCAAAGACTACAAGTGGCACAGCCCGGAGGGCCCACGAGCTCTCCTTTAGGAAAGAACTCTGAGAGGAAAGCAGCCTGGGCTCAGGGAGAACGCGCTCTTCCGGCGCGGAGGAATGTGTAATGCCCCAGAGGGCAGAGGTTCTGCTTCCGGTGAGGAGGGTTCTGTACCCCTTTGTGTATAAAAAACACGAAAACAAACTCGGCCAGCCTTAGGTGGTACTATCTCGCTTAGCCGGTACCGCGGCTCGTTTTAACCTGCCTTTTTCCACGTAACTAACTTTTTCGGCCTCTGTCTCTTTATTTAGCCTTTTGACTGTTAGTATCCCTTCTAAATACTCTCACTCGGCCACTTTATAGCTGCCTCATCTCCATAACAACAGGTTAGGGTTCAATATAACCCCCAAATCCTGCCGCCGGCCTTTGCTACCATCTAGGAATTGCTTTTCGTGCACGTGGAAGCAACCGCTCTTGACCTTGCTTTTCCAGCAATTGACCCCAAGTCATCTCAACAGCAAGCACTTTACTCTGCTACCACAGGCTCCGTAAACCTTTGTCAGTATGCTGTAAAAGCTATTACAACCTCCTGATCCTACTTGTCAAAAATTTCTATGCCAGTGTACATCTCCACTTACTGCAAATTGTGGCAAATAACGTAGAAAGAACTAAAGAAGAAACCATGAAAATGTAGTTCCAGTATTAAATATTTATTGGAAGACTTCCTTTCAAAGGACTCCCTGTGCAACCTCAGCTACCCCAGGACCTAAATTGCCAACTATGGATGATGATTCCCAAAAACTGCATTTCCAGCCAAGATTTTTCTTTCGAGTTACCAGTACATCTAGCTACCTACTAGATCTCCCACTTGCTTAATTCAAGTACCCTCTGTTTTTTCTGTGTTTCCAGTTTCCACGAATGACTTCATCCACCTACTCAGCCTGAGGCGGAAATCCTTGACTCCTCCCTTACTATGTATAATCAAATGTCAAGTGTAGAGATTGTGTCCCCTAAAAATTTTAAATTCACTCATGCCTCTTCATTCTTATTATCACTATCCTTATGTAAGTTCTCTCCCGCCTGAACCATGATAGCTCAGTTCTTATCCCCTCTCAAATCCCATTCTACTCCGTTGTTAGATTGCTTTGTCTAAAATCCATCTTACGGGGGCGCCTGGGTGGCTCAGTCGTTAAGCCTCTGCCTTCAGCTCAGGTCGTGATCCCGGGGTCCTGGGATCGAGCCCCACATCGGGCTCCCTGCTCGGCGGGGAGCCTGCTTCTCCCTCTCCCACTCCCCCTGCTTGTGTTCCTGCTCTTGCTGTGTCTCCCTCTGTCAAATAAATAAAAAAATTAAAAAAAAAGAATCTTTAAAAAATAAAAATAAAAAAAAATATAATCCATCTTACGGGCGCCTGGGTGGCTCAGTCATTAAGCGTCTGCCTTCAGCTCAGGTCATGATCTCAGGGTCCTGGGATCGAGCCCCGCCTCGGGCTCCCTGCTCCGCGGGGAGCCTGCTTCTCCCTCTCCCACTCCCCCTGATTGTGTTCCTGCTCTCGCTGTGTCTCTCTGTCAAATAAATAAATAAAATATTAAAAAAAAAAATAAAATCCATCTTACTCCCAAGCTTCATCTGTTATGCTTCTCTATATACCACACCCAGAGTTTTGTGATGGCTTTGGTGCACCACACTTTCTCTCATCTCTCAGCCTTCACAGATAATGTTTCCTCTGTCTGGAACATGTTTTACTGTCCTGATCCCACCCCAGAGTTTCATATATCCCCTTTCTGACCTACTCTTTTCTTTTTTTTTTTTAAGATTTTATTTATTTGAGAGAGAGAGCATGAGCAGGGGTGAGGGGCAGAAGGAGAGGGAGAAGCAGACTCCCTGCTGAACAGGGAGTCCGATGTGGGGCTTGATTCCAGGATGCTGGGATCATGACTCAAGCAGAACGCAGATGCTTGACTGACTGAGCCACCCAGGCACCCCACACAAACACTTGTTTCAGTTAGTCTTTGTTACATAACAAACCACTTCAAAACTTAATGGCTAAAAGAATTTAGTGGCTAAAAATGAAAACTATTACTGCAGTTCTGTGGGTTGGTAATCTGGTGTTCTCCTGGTTTCCCCTGGGATCACTCATGCAGCTACAGACCTCTGACAGCTTAACTGGAGTTGGAGGATCCAATATGGCCTCATCACTTGTCTGGCAGTTGGTGCTGGCTGTTGACTGGGAAAGCTCAGTTCTCCACATGACTTCTCATCCTTGGTAGGATAGACTGTGCTTTTTCATAGGATGGTGAAACATTCTAAGTATGAGAGTGGACTTAGGCCTAGGCTCCAAAATATACAAGATCACTTCTGTCACATTCTGTTGGTCAAAGCAAGTCATAAGGCTAGCCCATATTCAATAGAGTGGTGAAACAGACTACGTATCTTGAAGGGAAGAACAATAATATCACATTGCAAAGGGGCGGAGAGAAAGAAAAGTGTAATTCATTACATACAATCATAATGATTCATAACAAAATGAGATTTTGTACTATTTAAATCTGAAAATCCATATTATTCACAAAAAAAGAAATAATGAAATTCTAAGTAAAGCAAGTAACATTGAAATAATCATTAAATATGTAATTAATTAAAGCATAATGGTTTTGCTTTCATATTATTAATAGAGCCGCAAAGCCCTGATTGACCCTCCGAATAAGCACAAACTCCTAAAAGCTTTGTTTCTCTTTATTTCCTTTTAGTCTTTCGAGTTATACTTACCAAGTACTTTATTTTAAACTGTCTCCCTAGAATATAAAATCACAGAGTAATTATCCCCAAGCATGTCTTTGCTTTGATATGCCCAAGAAATCTGTAGCAGTCACTTAAGCAGTGAGTCTGTAGGAGAAGGGCAGTGAATATCTCCGCTGGGATGGAAAAAAGTTCTCCAGTTTCACCCACATGAGATTCTGATGCTCCCTCAGAAAGGATAGGTGAAGCCACTCTCACCCTTCATGCCCATCCCTTTGAAGATTTTATTTATTTATTCATGAGAGACAGAGAGAGAGAGAGAGAGAG